TGCGGGGCCCGGCAGCGCCGAGGAGGGACGGAGGGTGACCCGCGGATTGGAGCGGGGCGGACAGCGCGGCTCCTCGGCTCCCCGGCTCTCATGCCTTACCTGTGGAGCCTTAGAACTGCGGAAACATTGGAAAATCAATAAAAATGAATGTAAGCGCCACTATTTAATGAAGGAACTGTATATACGTGCGTGCAGATATATAAACTGTTGGTTAGGTAAGATGCTAGTCTGGTAAACAGCGTTTCAGGATAAACAGCGTTTCAAGTTGCTAGATGGTATGAGGAAACTCAGGTGTCTTTTATTTCAGTTGCATAAGAAGAATAAAGGTACCTGTTCAGAGGCAGGTGTGCCAGGCAAGGCTGTGCCTKGTCCCCGTCCCCGTGTGCGCGGTCCTGCGGCTGTCACCGTGCACGGCTCCGAGTGTGTGAGTGTGAGTGTGAGTGAGCGCTCCCCTAAGGGCTCCCGAAACAGCTGCTGGTGACGGGATGGAGAGCTGGCCTGTGGGACAGTTAGCTGGGGAATAGCTAATCACAGCCATCCTTATCCTCAACAGCCTTGATACTTCTTCTGGGATGTTAACATCATGTGTTTCCAGGAGAATTCTTAGTCCCTTGTAGGACACCCAGGTGTGCACTAAGAGACTTTGGGCATGTGTCTTGTAGGAAATGGTGTGTTCACAGGCTGACTAAATTCAGGGAACCTATTCAATGAAAAAAAATGAAAAAGCCAAAAGATACAATGAGTATTATCCTTATTGTGAAATTTCTGATCATTTGCTACTCATTTAGTGACCTGTTTAATATCTYTACAGGTAAGTTGTTAATTAGGTATTTGGGATGAATTTGGGTTTGTGTGATAGCATTCTGATCGATTTGAATTCATTAAGTTAACAAGCTGGTTGGGACAGCTGAGTTTGTTTGTTGTTGTAAATCTGCTSCTACAGTGGCGATGAGGAAACGTTTCCGTTATTGCTGGGAAATTGGAGGATAACATGAAACTTAATGAAGTGAAACGGAATTGCATTTTCCTCAGAGTGATTCTATTATGCCTCAGTTAGGGCCATGTTATTGCTCACCTTAGATCATTAGCTGTTACTCTGTTTCTGTGTATTTTTTTAGTGATACATAGCTCATAATGTGTTCTTGCTTTATATTTTTTTTTTTTCAGTTGCATTGTATTTAATGTTTGCTTTTCCATCTTTTGCAGCAGTGTAACAGAAGATGTATTTTAATGGAAGGTTTCTCTGGGCTTCCCTAAGGGGTTTTCACATTAATGCCTTTAAAATTCAATCATTAACTTTTGCCTTAACCTCAAGCTAGAAAGTGATGATGAAAAACAATATAGCGCAGTGTTTAATTTCATTTTACAAAGCATTATCAGAATTGATTCAGCTGATACACAAACAAGGGAAACCTCAGGAACTTTCTTTTGGCCTCAGCTTGCACRTTGGAGCTTCAAGCTGTGTCCCGTTCACCTGCCGGCTGCTGACTGCCGGGATTTGCTGAGCTGGCTGCTGCCTGCAGCTGTGAGGAAGGGGACCAGGACACCCCCAGGGATCCCTTCCGGATCCACATTCCCAGGCCAAGGTCCGACAGACTGGGCACAGGGGGGGAAGATTTTTCAGATGTTTTGGTGCAAACACAATTGCTTCCTGAGGGGGAGATTTGGCATGTGTTTCCTGAGAGAGCCGTGCTTGCGTAAGCAGCCCCCTGCCACCCTCGGAGCTGTGCTAGCACATCCATTTGTGGGGCCATGGGGAGCTGCAGCGGGGGCTGCWCTGGGATCAAAAGCACCTTTTCTTCTTTGGTATTGATTCCTTTGAGCTCTGATCTGTCTGAGCTGCTGTGTCAGGACTGAGRAGGTGGCCTGAAAGGAGGGAACCTGTGGCAGGGAGCAGGAGGTAAGGGCTGTTCCTGCAGGATCACGGCTGCTGGAAGGAGCGATTGCTTATCAGACTGCGGTCAGAGGGGGATGACATGTGGTTATGGCAGTTGCCTGAAAAGTGTAGCTGAATGCTCAGATATCTGACTGCAGTTGTGTGCACGAATACACAAAGACAGATTCGGTGTTTCTGTTGTAACTCTGAGTTTTTACCTAATGATTTTACTTTCATGAGGTATATCTACGTGTGAAGCTTCATACTATTCTCTCTTTGACTATGAGCATTTTAAAGGGCTATTTTTTCTGGAAAATAAACCTAGGCATCATAAGAATATGAGTTTTATTAATCAGATTATATTTAGCATTAGGATAGGTGAATGCCTAAAATTCTAAAAGGGAAGATTAAACCACCCGTAAGAGGGTGCCTCTCATCCTAGAGAGCATAATTGTTACATGCATGCATTTTGCTCTCTTTTAGGTGTATATAAAATGTTAAATTTGAATTTGAATGTAGTGAAGACCTACACTACATTAAAGTTAATGTTAAATTATGAATGACAGAAGCAATTTGACAATTAACACTGTTTTAATTGGTGTGGTGAGACTAAGGCAYCAGTGCAATGTAAACTTTCTCTAATCTGCTACAATTTATTTTAGTTTGGAAAGCTTTGATGGTTTTGTGCGTTGTTTTATGACTCGTTCTCATTCTTTCTTTAGACACTTTGTTTCTCTGTCATGATCTTATTGTAACCAGTAAGAAAACACAGCACATTGTCCATTTAGCATGAGTGTTTATTTAGAGAATGATGGTACACGTTCTTGTTCACAGAACTTGAAGGAGCAATTACTTGCTCTTTGTCTTCATTCAACAGAGAAAAAAAATAATTACTTTTTCCTTACAACCTTCCTAAACAAAGAACTTCATAGGATTMAAGAAAAATATCTTAGCTTTACTGTCCTGTGGTGGATACTACAACTGCAGTTTGGATTATCTTTGTAGAGTCTCATTTAAAAGATTTAAATGATTTAAAAAAGATTTAAAAAAGTAAAAATTGTAATTTTATCAATTTTTTTTTATCCTAAGAGGAAAGGGTTTTCTTTACAGCAGCCTTATGAGACCAAAATACATATTTTATGAGCTGTATTGTTGCCTGGCACACATTAATGYGACTGAGCAGTAAAACTGCAACTGCAGCTCGCCTGCAGGAGGTTGACTCCCAGCTGGGGGGATGGAGAAATTTGGAAAGGTGCAATTTTTAAAAACTAAAACTGTAGGAGTCCGACCTAATCACACTGTTTTTCTTCACTGGAAAGGAAAGTGGTTCCTACTGAGCTTATTGAAGTGATGGATTTGTTTTCCTCTCGGGAAGCAGTCTGCTCTTGCTGTGAGGGGGAAGAGCTGCTGCCAGCAGGGCTGTACAGACTCAGCTGCTCTGGGTGAGGATGCCCAGGTGGAGACTGCCTTTTCCTGGCTTGGCTCCTTGTCTCTCCTCAGCTGGTAGGGTCCTGGTATAACTGCATTCAGGGAAAGCTGTCATCTTTTGAGTATGGAATCGTTGTGTTCAGGTCCCTCATCCTCCTGTCCAGCCCTGAGGATGGGTGCTGCTCAGATGTCACCTGTCTGCAGGGCCACAGACACCAGGGACAGAGGAGCCCACAGGACTCGGGGGTAGCCAGGAGGCCCTTAGAGTGTCTTTCCTCACTGTAAGATCAAAATCCATCACTTTTGTCTCTGCGGCATTTTAAGCTGTGCAGGCCCTGGAGGCAGCAAATCATCTCTTCAGCAGCAAGATGAGCTATTCGGTGGTAAGATTAGCCAGCAATTTGTGGTAGATTTCCTCCCCAGAGCCTGCAGCAGCTGGGAATTGTAGAACTGGCTTGAGGGCATGCAACGATTTATGTTGTTACTGAGTAGGGATGAGTTTAGTGCTCAGTGGTAAAACTGTTGGTTGCTTTGCATGCAATACAAACGCTACTGAATAGTTGTTTCTCAGCTGCAGTTCAGTGCTGGAGAGTTACAAGTTATCCACAAACCAGAATATTCTTGTGGCTTTTACTTGCCTTTTAAAAAACATGAAACGGCATTTTTTGTTCTCATTTTGTTTATTTGTCCTGTTATTAACTTTTGCTTGTTTTGCTTGATGAGATAATGAAGGGAGAAGGCAGTGAATGAAAAGTCTTTAGTGTTTACTTTTAAACAACATTACGAGTTTTCACTGAGAAACTGTTGGTCTCTATTTCCTTTTCTGGTATTTTACTGTAAGATGATTTTCAGTGTGAATGCTGTCTCAGAGCATCATGTAAATAACAGAGAAAAATGGTGCAACTGTATTTTGTTAATGTGTGTTGTATGTCTGGYACCCCACACCTACATGCACCAGGAATCAGGCTTACATTTTGCATCAACTTGCAGAAATAATGATCATGGGAAGCCCTAGACCATATGTGGATATTTGTTTATAGTGTACATATTTGTTCTTTTGACCTACTGGCAGGTGAATTATAGAGAACCCATTTGCCACCCTTTTCTTTCCAACTCTCTAATTTTCTTGTGCAATCTGTGAGTGACTGGGATACCATCAAAATTAYTGCCATATCTTGTCAAGAGATGTGACCAAACTTCAGGGATTCCTCAGCTGTCACAGTTTGCCAGTGTACTTGCCTACACACACCATCTRTACTCCATTTCTTCTGGGGTAATGGTGTGTCTAATGTTTGAAAGYTTTTCTCAAATCCATTTGAAAAATTAGGTGAAATTGCAGATGAAAATATGGTAAAAGATATTTCAATTCTTGATTGAAACATCAGAAGCAAAGCTCCTGATAGAAAACAAATAGAAGAAACATTTTCTTGGGATATTTAAAAAATGAAAGCTGTTCCCCAGCTATTGCAGAAGGTACCAGAGGCAAGTTTTGAGCACCAAAGGGAGAAGATGTTTTAGGTAGCAGCTACCAAATTCCTGCATCCCCCTTTCTGAATAGGGCCTGAAAGTATTTTTGGAGTTGGGAATTCAGCTCCTCATCCTCAGGACAGTGCTGACCTTTTTCCCTCCCTTTGTTCAAGATGGAAACAGTCTCCTGTCTTTCACTTCTTTTTTTTTTTTTTTTTTTTTTTTTTTTTTTTTTTTTTTTTTTTTTTTTTTTTTTTTTTTTTTTTTTTTTTTTTAACTCAAAGTTTCCTTCCTTCCTGCTTTGTCTGGATTTCTCCCAATGTTGACATAATGATTCACATTTCCCAGATGTGAAATGCAAATGTGGGGAGTGGGATCTTTCCCCTGCCTCTCTGGGGTTTTCCTGGAGTCTGAGATGTTGCTGAGTTTCCTAATTAACATCTCTCCTGATGTAAATGGTTTTCATGCTGGCCACATGAAAACATGGGCGCTGTTTCAGTACTTAATAAGTCATGTCTTAGAGTGTTCATTGTAAACAGATCTTGAACTKGGTTGGCTTTGAGAGCTTCTTGAAGAGCTCACAAAGTCCTTRATTTAGTCAGCAGACATAGCCAGAGAACTCCTCCTGTCTGTCTTAGGCCTCATCTCCTCACGTTGTTCTGTTTGACAATGTTGAGCTCCCTTGGCAGTGAGTATTTGGAGCTTGTTCAGGCAGCCTGCTGTTGCTGCAGGCTGAGAATGGGCAGTGCAGGGCTGTGCTGCTCCCCTGGGGTCACTGTCCCTGTTCCTCTCTGCTCTGTCTCCTTTGGCTGATGCTGCAGTGGAGTATGGATTCCATATTTGTGTTACTCCCATTCACTCCAAAGGTACCAGAGGATTTGGATTGGTAATTTCTTGATTTCAGGCTTCCCTCTCCTCCAGAAGCCCCTGTAATCAGCTCTTGAAGCTCATCACCTTTATTTACCRTAAAAATAATTTAGAGAACAGGGAAAGGAAGAGCTGAAATAAGAAGAGTCAAACCCAAAATAGTCCCAAGGCATGTGCCAACTTCATKTTTCTGTCACTGAAATGATGAATCCAGTCTCTCTCAGCTATTGAGCTTGACATTTCCTGGGCCAGGGGCATCACACTCAGCCTTGCCAACACAGGTGTGCCTCTGTGTGAGTGTTCAATAAATACCCATAGCTGGTTTTAAAATGAGTCGCTGCACTGAGCTTGATGGGAATCAGGTTTTCCCTTTTCATTATATGGGCTAACTGGTCTGAGTTGGCCCTTGAAGGCTTGATTTGATGTGCTGTTACCATTTGAATGTCTTGATGTCGTTACACTTCTCATTGGCAGCGACTTTTAATTTTTTTTAAACTAACAAACATTTCTGGTAGTTTGCCTTTTTCTTGTTTGTTTGTTTTTAAACATTGCAGCCTTCAACACGCAATTGTGTTAGTTTGGATAACAAACCACTGCCTATCCATTCTGACCATGATCATGTCCTTGCTGCCACAGGTTCCTGGAGAGTTCTCTYCCTGTTGTCTGTATCTCTTGGCAACCCTGCTTTCATGAAAACATCCCCTTAAATTACACTTTCTTCCATAAAAGCTTGAAAGATGCACTATCTGACCTGCTTCATGCAACAGGCCCATGTTGTTTGTTTTGGCTAAAGACTATAGGTATTTGGGAAGCTTCTTCATGAAATGCTCTCTTCCTGTTGAATCCCTTCTTCTCTCTAAACTTCAGTAACAATTTTTCTTTATTTATTTATTTAGTCTGAACCATCCTTGGGGCAGCTGTAGTGGGATACCACCAGCAGGAAGCCAAAATGCATTTTTAAAGGGACTGAAAAAAGTTCCCCTGGGTGAGAAAGTATTGGAATGGAAATCAACTGAGCAAGAAAACCAGCTGAGAGGAGCAGCACTTTCCCTCTTGAAATGTCTGATACAAAGACCAGGTAGTTTCTCCACTTGGTCAGTGCCAATACTGTGCTCCAATAGAGCTGGAGTTTTTTATATGAAAGCTGTTTTCAGTGTTAAGTGTAGAATTAACATTTTCTGTTTCCTCATCTAAAGCAGCTCAGACTATTTCTCTGTGCATCTGGTATTTTGCATTGAAAGTGGCCCAAATATTTAATTTGGGAAATGCAGCTGCCATAAAATACAGTTTGATGACAGCAGAGCAATTAGTATTGGATGAAGAATGTGCTGAATGTGGCATCACAGCTGATCACAGAGGACCCTCAAACTCTCAGCAAAAATAYGCAGTTTCTGTCATTATGTATTGAAGGACCTGGCTTCCACCCTAAATACGTGAAAATCTAAGCAGTCAAAACAAGATGCAGTTGGAGAACAATGAAATTGGTCAAATTGCATTTTCATTTTTGCAGGTTGGCATGGCCAAGACACTTAGTGAGCAGAGACATCCCCATGAATCCCAGCCAGAGCCAGCTTCCTGTGGAAACGAGCACTGTTATTTCTATACCCTGTTTAACTCAGTGGGGCACAGCACAGATCCAAAGCTCTGAACTGTTCCCCTTGGGGGATTCAAATGCAGAGTAGTCAGGGCACTAAAGCAGAGCAGCACAAGTGAAATTTAGGATGAACTGTGACTCATTCCCCACTTGGTCCGCCATGCTCTGCTCTTCATGCAGCCAGTGTTCCATCTCGTGTTTGTGGTCAGAGTTCTTTCTTTCAGTGTCCATTTAATTTAGCCTGATGGAGTAGCAAGTTGGAAAGAATAAATAGAATTATCCCACACAGCTGGTCTATTTTTAATGAAGTTACTGTAGTGGAGAGTAATCTCTGAGGGGTTGCAACCCATATGATGTAATCCTGCCTCAGCTTATGGTGCAAGCTACATAAAATCAGCCCACACAGGACTGATGGTAAAACGACACTTGTCAGTTTGCAAGCTTTGTTTGTTTGCCAGAAAGGAGTGGATAACAAAGTATTCCAGATCAGAGCCCTTGCATGGATATCTTGGGCGTAGCAGCAGAGATATTTTGCAGAGTACTCCATTAGAAAGCAACTTTTATACAAATGAGAAAGTGAATCTTGGGTGCACGAAGCAACTCCTAGAAAATAGAAACTCTCTATTTTTTGTTGCATCTGGAGAATATAGCAAGCATGTAAAYGCTGTTGTCAGTGTACCAATGCCTCCTGACGGGGAAGGTCTATGCAGTTGGCACCAATGCACCAAATAAAATCCGTGTGGGAAAAAAAACAGAGGMTGTGAAGGTGGTGACAGACAGGACAGTGTGTGAAACAAATGAAGTGTGTTTTAGGGTCGCAGTAGAGGACAAAAAGAAAGTTTGCTGGTGCTTGTGGATTCACTAAAAGTTGGTCAGGATTCTATCCTTGCTTCAGGTAGATTTAGAACTTGGTAGGAATATAAATTGTATCAAATGCAACCTGCCCCAATGTGAAATGCCCACTGAAGAAGAAAAATGATCCAATGATGCAGCATTTGAGGTGAGTAACAGAGCTTTGTAAGGCAGGTTCATAGGCAGGCACTGGTGCCAACATCTTTCCAGTGTTTTCAGGGTACCAAGATACACCAGTGATGCTTAATTGGAAATGGGAAGTTAACTCTATCAGAGATATCTTAACTGAGAAACAGATATTAATGTAATTTGATCTTAATTTCTGTTTGTCATTTTCAGCATGAGATCACGATTATGCTTTTGTTACTACTGTGACAATGAATTTATGGTGAACCAGTAGTTCCTTGTGACAACTCTTCCTTGTTACTGTTTCAGGTAATTCAGAAGATGCAATTTGAATAATACTATCTTGATAGTTATAGTTYATTCCCTGTAGGGGGTGAATCAAAAACATCACTAGGAACTGTTCATTTTCACAGAAAAAAACCTTAATTTCACAGTGAGAAGATTTTAAGGACTATTATCCTCTTGTATCAATATATGCACACTGGTTTTAGAAATAATTTTTGTTGTCTGATAGTTCTTGAGTTATTTTTACTCCTTTTGTCATCCATCCAATAAGCTGTTTTAAAATGAAGCTGATCCCACTAGAAGGATTATTGATAATGAGATCTAGTTAAGCGACAATTACCAGGTTGGCTGGAATAACAGGATAAGAGGATAACTGTTGAGTTGTCCTTTTAAATTTTGTTCTTTCATTCCCAAGTTGACATGTGGTGAGACTTTGGCCAAATGATATTCATGTGACTGTCCAGTCTAAGCAGGTAGCAAATGCATTTCTTCACCATGGCTTCTTGACCAGTAATGTGAATAACAAACCTAAGAGAAAAAAGCCAGGACTACTTTTTTTCTGAAAAAAACCCCAAACTTTCTTACAACTCCTATGGAGCAGCTCCTGGATCATGGCACYGGGTTAAAGCTTATACTTGGTTCTACAACCCATTCTTGAATTTCTGAGCCAGGTTTCTGTTTTTATAAACTTTCCAACGCAGTGGTTCAGGATGCTATGATAAATGGCCAGCAAGYTGGTCTCTAGGATCACATGAAACAGCAGACCCTGCATAGTTTGATTCTGAAGTGTTTCCATTTGAGAGTTTGCCCACAGGAGCCTTTGGGTGTTTTATGGTAGATTTGGCAGGCTGCACTGGGTCTGGGGTTATAAATACTCAGCTGCTGTAATTAGGACTGGGTTTAATAGGAAGAAGAAACAGAGCATTTTTATCCATGTTTTTATAACCAGTCCTTACATAAATTTCTAGATTATTTTTCTTAGATAGCATCAGCCCCTTTCTTTTTTTCCCCTTTTCAAGTACTTCAAAATTTCACCTTTTATGGGCTCTCTTATCACTGCTGTCTAACATTTAACAAGATGACTCCCTAACATCTTGTCTTGTTTCTCCAGATGGGCTCTTTTCCTCCTTCTTTTATAGCTATCTGGCTTTATAGTGTAGATGTTGAAGAGAAAAGACAAATGTGATACAATCTGGGGAAAGTGGTTTCCTGTTTTTCTACATACTGTCTCATTTACTGCTAGAGTAACTCAAACTTCTCATCTGTAAAATTTCTGCCCTCACTGCTGACAGGTTTGTTTTCCTGCCAGAGGCACCCACRGGTCCTTTGCTGCAAAGCCCTTGGTCTCCTGCTTTTTATGAGTTGAGATAATCCCGTGCTTCTTGTGGTCAGATATTTTTTTCAAGTATTCTTTCCAATTACATCTCCATCACAGGCATGTTTGAACACTCGCTATAACATTCTGCTTGCTGACAGTTCTGTGTGTCTGTGGAGCTGAGAGGATACRAGCTGAGGATATCTATGAGAACATCAGAAAAAATGAAAACGGAGATTAACTTTCAAAGAAAATAAAATAGAAATCTGGAGAGSAAAGGTAAAACACACAGCATAACCTTTTCCCCTGTTTCACTTAGCAAAACAAAAACATTGTATGAAGGGAAATGTTCTTTAACATAAAATTGGGAAACTGTATTTCTGGACTKCAGTGCTGGCTAGTGGGAGTACACCCTTAAGTATCATGGAAAGTTCCTGCTGATTCTTTCTGAAAATGATGTAATCAAGCAGCTGCACCAGTATTCACTCAGCAAAGAGAACCTGGGGCGCTTTTCTCAAAGCTTTAAAGCTTTGAGAAAACTAAAATATGGAATTAAGCAAGGATTTAGTTGAAACATGGATGGCTTGGTGAGACTGAATGGAAGGCTGAGCATGAAGAATGTGCTGATCTRCCCAAGACACTTGGGTTGTTTGTTAACTTTCAGCCTGTGATTTCACCAAAACAGTTACTTGTGAGTAGATGCCTGTTTTCCCTGTGTGCATGCTGTCTGATGTATTCTTCTGCATTCTCTTCTGTCAGATTTATTTTGTGTGGGATGCTAAGAGTTTTTCCTCTTGACTTCCATCTGTTTCCTTGTCTTTCATTTTAGTATTTAATGTTTACCTCCCAACGTAGTAACTTAGCTTTTGTTGCTTTCTGAAGGTTGTGTGCAGTTTCACACATATGAGCCTACTTGTGCAGGGATGTGCTCATTGGAATGAACCTATGGATTTCTTATAATATATTATATTATATTATATTATATTATGTTTTTTTTACTATACTAAATGGGATTTTTGCAATGAATTCTCAGAAATACCTAACCCTGAAAACCCAAATTCATCAGCAGTTGCTTTTGGAAGTCTGTTTCAGGAAATGACTGACGTCCTGGTTTTTTGTCTTAAACAGTTTTCTGTCCAGTATTTAGAGATTTTTTTTCCCACCATTCCGCTAAGGATTATATCAATGCACCATTGTATATACAATAATTATATATTAACATTATTAAAGGGAAAAGAATTTGTGACTGATATGATGGTAGTGATATCTGACTTTTTACAGAGTTCAAGGTTTCAGCTGAAAACCTCCCAAGAAAAATAATAGTCACTGTGGCAGTTTGCTATCACACGGTGCATATTGTCCATTAGAAGAGCATGCAGGGCATCAAATACCCTAATAGYTTTGTTTCAGAACATAAGCCTGCGTGAACAAAAGGAAATAACCTGCCTTGCCTTTCCATGCCTGATTAGCTTTTGCAAATATTGCACATTGAAGAAGATGATGAATTGACTCTAACAGCAGCCCTAAAACATCAGATAAATGGAGGCAATTTTCTGGATAGCTTGTTCTGTAGGTACAGAATTTACTTTCTAAAAGTCATCTCCTTTCCCTTTGAAGAACACTYGTGTAACATTCACACCTTGAAAACTAACTGTGAAAAGTATTTTTCTCTGTGAATTTTTAAAAACTCAACAATGCCACTTGGGCTCTCTTCAAGAACATGGGGAAAAGATGTCTTTGTTAAAGTGCAGTTCCTCATCTTACACTAACCCAGMCAGGAACATCAAGGACATTATAAGCCAAATTAATTCTGTATGGCTTGGACAAGGTATTTCYATAAAAAGGGGGGCTGAAAAGGTGATAACTGACTGTGTAATGATCTGAAAAAATGTGGTATTCTCACGTGTTCCGTGGCAGTGCTTTGCAGTGGCATTCTTTCTCAGGGCAAGATTGTCCTGAAGATGGAAAAATTAATACACCAGATGTGGGAAAAGTGTCAGTTGAAGACCACTTTGATTAAAAAGCTTTTTCAGAATTTTCAAACAATTATGGTCAGATATTAACATTTCTTAATGGATGCGACAGGACACTAATAAGTGCCTGATCCAGAGAAGTGCACAGATCTTTGAACAGATAGGAATGACTCAGAAAAATTACTGTACTGTTGCATATTTAAACCTGTCAGTAAATGAGAGGTGCTTGAAGAAATGCTTAATCACCATTAATGATATATTATAAAAYTCCAAATTAGCAGATAAATATAATTATGAGTATTAAAAAACCCCTCCCAAAACAATTGCCTACCCACCACCTTGTTTCTACATTAGGAAAATGTAGCAATATTGAAAAATGGAGAGATATTAGAAAAATAGCAAACATCAGAAATTTCTGACACATCTGTGTGTTGACTTCAGAAGCTGGAACATGTGTGTCCACAGCCTTGCAAAGGGTGTGCTCACAGACAGTCTGGGCTCAGATTTCAGTAACAGCCATGTACTCCAGGACAATTGTCTGGCTCTGTTCTTTTCATCATAGTGAAAAATCAAATGGTCAGTACTGTACCTGTTAACGACCCGTAAGAATGTCAATCAAAAGTACACATTTTCAGAAGGGTTTAAAKTCAAGCTTTGTCTACAAAGGTGTTTTCTCACAAAAATATTCCTTTGCATTTTTTATCCTCTGTAGTTAAACTGCTTTATTTAGGGACTAACCTAGCCAGAAACTACGTAAAAGGATCAAGAGGTTTCCATTATCATTTGCTTGATGTTTTTCTGTAGACCCCTTCTGTCAGGCTGTTGATTGTAAGCACAATACAGTGGTTTTAAGAAACAAGGGATGTTCACGTTACATTTCTCATCACTGACCCAGCAGACAGGAACTACTTCTGCTGAGGTTCTAGCTGTACCATTTGGTTTAGCAATTTCTGGCAAATCTGACAAATTAAGGAGCTGATGTGGCAGAGATTGCTGTGGGAGACAAGCATGGCTGTTCCTTTCCCAGCGACTGCTTGGTACGGAAGCAGCTAATGAATGCTGTGCTGCTCTACAACCCTTACTTTTGCCATCTTTTCCATCTTGCAGCTCTGAGTACTTTTACTTTTGGGTAAAAAGGGAGTCTTCTAAACTCTTGCCATTCTTTTGTGTCACCCCACTCACCTAAGCCCCTCTCTGGCACCTCCATTCCATCCCAGCTGCTCAGCATCCCTTTTCTTTCCAGATTGCTTTTCCGGGTCAATCTGTCTCCAGCACCTCCCTCTTATGCATGAACTGAAGTCCACAAAGAACATTTGCTGCTCAGCATAGTGATAAGAGTTAATATTCTGGGCTTTTACACAATTCCTCTTCTCTATCTGGATACATTCTGGATGGAGGGCAAGTTTTAGTTGATGTTTGTATGATGCCCAGCCCTGTGACACTGCTCCTGATTAAAAGCCTTAAAGTACTACTACAATACAAATCAATTATTAATGTTGCTCTTATCATAGGGAAATCCCTTCTTTAAAGTATAAAAGTTGTCATAAATTTTCAAAATAAAGCATCCAGATTTATTCAGGAATATTATAGATAAAAAACTGGAAAAGACATGAAGCATTTACTGCAATCTGTCTTAATGTGCTTCTTGTCTTAGTGCTACGGCAGCAATTAAAAGTCAGGTTGGATTTTGGTTTTGTTTTGGGATTTTTTAATGTATTTGTTTGTTTGCTTTGGTTGTGGTACAATTCTCTAAATGGACTTTCAGGTAAGCAGTTCTGTTTTCACTTATTTGTTTCAGTGCTGGAGTGAGACTGAATTTCTGGAGGTTTGGGAAGCTGCATGTGTACCCTGCTTGTATAGAAGTGCATAACCTGCACGATCACTTGCTTGCACAAGGAAAATTTCTGTGGTTTCATCTGCCATTCTGTTCAGAAAAACATAAACTTTGTTTTGGTCTAGAGACTGGACAGACACATATTTAAACCGAAAAAAAAGCTGACAATATAGAGTGACAGCCTTAATATGCTCAATGGAGTAATTTTTATTTAGGAACATAGGGTTGCAAAGGACCTCATGGGTTGTTTTTGAGCAAGTCTAAGTCATAATGATCTAATTCTTGATAAACAGACTGCTGAAATCAAAACAAGCTGTTCTTTTTGAATTAAATAGCTAACTCAGGGGGCAGAATGGAACAGCTGTTGACTGGAGAAAATAGATTAAATTAGAAATAGTGTTTGCATCCCAAGAGYTGTACATAATTAAAGTCTTTATTTTCCATGTATTTAAGAACTATTGAGGATTTAGCAGCCTGCCAGAATGCTGGCTCTAGTGCCTGCCATGGTATACAATTGCTAGTGTGGGAATGTGGGGAAGGAGAGAAGGCTGAAAAAGTACCCTGGTTTTTTTTTTTTCCAAACAGRAGAAAAACCAGAGTACCTYCCTTTCTCCTAAGCTGATAGAAARTTTGCAGCTGTCTGCCTCTTCTGTGCTCATATCAAAGACCATGTCCCATTTAAATGTTCTCTGTGGTATCAGTTAAGGGGGCTARCAAGGAAGTCTGGGAAGGACTCTGGTCAGATGTGGTCATCCTTGATCCTTCAAGAMATGCAAAAGAAATGAACTCTTTCAAAACCTGTAAAATATTTAATCTTGTGCTGCACTGTCCCGCAGAACATACATCTTTTTGTTTGCTAGCTTTTTCCTTTTTCTCTCTTCCTCTTTTATCCTTTGTACTCATACCATGCCCTTTATGTTTTTTCTTTTATTCGTAGTTCTGTAGTTTGGGTTTTTTTTTGGTTTTTTTTTTTTTTTTTTGTTTTTTTTTCCATTTCATTAAAGATGCAGCAGTCAGAGAAATGGGAATAGAAAGCAAGAGAGTATTGAAACAAGAGGTCAACATGAATGTAGTAAGTGCCTAAAAATAATATTTGGTACAATCTTAACAAGAAAAAGATCTGTCCTAGAACTATGTGAGCAGGGTAAATACAACAAGATATTAAAACTGCCCTAGAGCTAGGTGCATAGGTTAAATGTAAATATATGCAATTCTGTTACCTTTCATGCATTAATGAATCTTCTCCAGCTATGCTTAAACTGCTGTATGCTTGTTCTTCATAAAATYCATCTGCACGAATGTTCTTAAAGTGACTTTGAAAGCTGTGTGTGTTGTTGTTCACCAGAAAAGCACAGTTTGAATTCGCTGGTGTGAAGGAACCTGTTCTGGAAGTTTGTCCTGGCATTCTGGACACAGAGACTGTCACGAGTTTGTCAGACTTTGCCCACACCATCTTCACCCAGGTGRAGGCTGCAAATGGCACATACAGTTTAACTGTCTGGATCTGTCTCACTGGTCCAGAAAGAAAATTCTAGGTAAGTCCCTTTCTCATTCTTCTGATACATACATCTCTGTATTTTGGAATAGGTAAAAGTAAGTGTTGGATTCTGTGCTTATTTATGCTGGTAATACATATTTGGGCCAGCTCCTTTGGGATGAACTGCACAGAATCCTCCCATGCAGCTCTGAAACAAATTGCAAAGGCATTGAAACACACGGAGCCATTTTGATTTTGTGTAATCAGGATAGAGTGAAGAATAAGAAAGCAGTGGAGTGGCACCCCCAGTATGGTCTGGGGTCTGTGTGTTGCTGCTGTAGGGCAGCTGTGATACAAACCTCACCTTATGCCTGTTCCTGTRGCTGAAGCTGTACCCCCCTGCACATGCAGCATTTTCAAAAAGCATAGGAGGTGGCATTTCTTGAGATGAGGGAGTTGCCCAGGTACACCAACACTGTAAATGGGGCTGAACAAGGAAAAACCCACCCCTGGTCCCTGGGCAGGCCATGACTCCCTGCTGTTCCTCTGTCGTTTGTCAAACAAATCCTTGATTTGTTGCCACATCATTATTGAACCGATTCCTTTAAAGAAGGAAGCCTTTGGGGTGGCAGGAGAGGCGGGCAGAGGGAGAGTGAGCGCTTTGCTGACTGTGAGCTCTTTAAAAGGTCAGTGGCTCCTGTCGCCGTGCTGGCTGGTTGCTAAGCTGCCGTGGATTTTTGTGCTCCTTTGCCTGGCAAAAGAGACCTTGCAATGAGGTACAAGGTTGTAGCAGTCCCTTTTCAGTCACCTCACCCACTCCTTTCTGCTCGCTGAGCAGCTGAGTGAGGGAGATGCTCTCAGGAGCACTTGTTTTCTTTCCAGGGTTCTCAAAAACAGCTGCTGAAGTAACTGACAGGTTATTTATCCTGCCAAATTAAACCTRATGTTTTAATGTGGGGGAGCAGAGWGACTGTWCAGTGAGTTGCCCRGGCACTTTGGCTAACTAAGGCTTTCTTAGGGATCAGCAGAATTTGTGCCATCTTCACCTCACTTGCATCTTCTTTGAATTCACAGCAAAGCACATTTYCTTGGTGCTTGAGTGAGAATTATCTAGCAAAGGCTGTTGTAAAGTCTAGAGCTGTTTCATGAGATTGTCTTTTAACCCTGCTTTCCTTTAGCAGGAACTTTCATGTACATCTGAGATATAAGAGCAGCCAGTGCTGCCAAGCCTTACAGTGGAGCAGATATGCAAAAAGAGTCTTATCCTGTAGCAGAAAGGTTAAGAAAATGCATCCTGAGAGCAAACAGAGTTTTGGGAATGGGGAGKGTGTGACTGTTCAGACAAAAATGTGCTTTCTTGCTGTTCAACTTCATTTGCAGAGTCCACAATCTGGACTGTCCACCATACAGATAATTAGGAAACAGCACCAGGCTGTAAGCAAGTGAAGTTTCCTAACCTCAGAGTGAAACTGTCAGATTGTCATAATAAGTGTTTTTATTTAGACATGTGCAGCAACAGGAAGGTAATTATTTTATTCTTTATTAGTTCCGTGGCSGTGAAAGGCACAGCACTCCTTGAAGCGAGTGGGGAGTCAAGGAGATGAGGGCTGCCCTAATCTGCTGCAGGGAGGCTGGGTGGCTTTTTTCTGTGTGCCTGGCACTTCTTATAACACGGTTGTTTTCAGTCGCTTGCWACCTCATTAAATGTTTGCTGGCAGGGTTCTGGGAAAATAACAGCAAGTAACCATGTAACCAAATAGCTAATCTATGTTTACTTAGCCTGATCTGTCATCAAATTCTTCCCAAGTACGTTAATGTACAGCTAAAAATGCGAACTAGGGTCTCARCCGTGCTCTGAAGGTTGCCTGGGAAGCTGGGCCAGAGATTCAGGCTGAGGCCACGCCACCCAGCTACTGCTGTTGGTGCATTAATTCTTTTTTTAAAACATTACMATTAGTTAGGGCTCTGTATGTGGAGATTGTTGACTCCTCTGAAAATTTTAGTATGTATTTTTGCTTATTGAAGGGTTACTGTTATCCCTTCTGGCATTCCTGAAAGTTCCTCCTCCACTCTAAGTATTCAGAACTTGAAAAAAAAAAAAAAACAAAACCTTCATTCCTGTAGAAGGCGCAATGAAAGATATTGCTCAGATCCAAAATAAGAAGCCTCTCCTTGCCAAGACTCATCAGAAGTGCTGCAGTGGCATGTCTGAGCTGCTTATTATCCCACTGTGATGGATCACGTGCTTTTGCAAACTCCACCTAACTATATTACTTGTGATTGCCAGGAAAATCTTGAGCTAAATAGCTTGAACTTTATGAGTGCCCTGTTAATTCATGGACTCTTGTGKGCTATTCAATCACACAGGCATTTGAACATAACTTATTAAACTTGCAATAGTGCAATAAATCCACCCTGAAGCCCTCAGCTTTAGATTCAAAATGTGGTGGCCATATGGTACAAAGCACTGGTACTGGCTCTGCTTGTTCAAGTGACTTTGTCAGGCTAAATTGATGGTAGACCTCATTGACAAATCAGGTTATAATCTATTTGTGCCACTCTGGCTTCATGATGGATTAGCTAGAAGCTTTTTTTTTGTGGCTAGATTAGAAGTAGACACAAAAGTGCTGAATATTTTTTTTCCATCTAAGTAGACAGGGATGTGGTGGTGGTGTTTTGAATCAAATTGTGCTGCTTGATGATCTGGGCATTCCCTGATCCGGCATGAAGAATCACGTTCCCACTGCCTTAGCTATCAGAAAGCTTGCTGATCCRATGTTTGCACCTATTTCATAAGGCAGTTGCTCCTTGGAGCTATACAGAAAACTTCAATTGAAGCTGCAATGACCCTATCAGCTAAAAATAAAGAATCAGTCATTAGTTCATGTCAACTTACTTGAAATGTAACATAAATCCTGCAAAACTGTCTGTCGCCTGGTTGGAATCATCACATTAGAAATATGGTCTGCTCACAAATTAGCAGCGTGTGCTGGAAGGCAAATACACAGGTGTGTGTCAAGGGACGAGGCCAGGGATGTGTTCTCTGTGCTGTGTGCCTGGTGGCCTCTCACTAACTTTTGACTGCAGGCATTTTCAGCCTCCCTCCCCTGGGATTTTGTGAATAATAGTATACTTGCCTGCAAGCAGGCTTTCTCGTTTCACTGCATTAGCCAATCTCTTGTCCCTTCTTTCCTCAATTTGTTTGTGTTTGGGTCAGGATTTTGTTGGAGTATAGTGGGGAGTAAAGGAGGCGGCAGGTACACACTGACGCTGCTCTGTGTTTGTGCTGAAACCATTAGGTGAGGTGAAAAAATGTGATATTTCACTTGAAGTGTAAAGTTCAAGGTTTGTGAAGAGGCCGGTGATGTCCTGCTGGTCATGTGGGCACCTGCAGAGGCTTCTCAGAAAGCTCTGTCAGCTGCATGGGCAATTTTTGCTGTGTATTAGAAAATCGTGTCAGAAAAAGCAAACTGTCCTGGTCTCCATTCTGGAGCTTTCACTCATTATTTTATGTGTGTAAGTCCTAGTAATTGAATACCTTGAAGATGAGATTTGAAACAATAAACTACTTTGGGTTTAATTTGTTCTGTGAGATTTTCTTAATCACTTGTAGAAATGAATTTGCAAAGGCTGCATCCAGCTGGGACCCTTTAAACACACTTGGGCACCTCTRTCCATGAGGTACCAGGTTTTTTGCTTACAAAATCTCTTGTAACCTTGGCCATGAATTCTTGTTTGATCTTTGTGAGCAACTGAGGCCATTGACACGTAATCCAAACTGTAGCCACATCACGTGCCCCAACTGAGATGTGGCCTGTTCACACAAGGAGGGAATGGTTTCCATAACCAGGCAGAGCAGAGTACTCTGTGTCTTTCCACAGAGCCRCAGAAATGAGAAGCAAAGCAGGTCATTTGAGTTTTTATTATACCTGAGCCCTCTTCTAGTTCATTATTGTGGAGTGTATTGTAGCAGTACTTCATGGCACAGTGAAAATCACTATTGTGCTGGACTTCATAAAAACACAGAGAATAACACTGCAAAGGCTTTATAATGCAATCTAACTTACAATGAAACAGATGTTTGTGACAGTGGACAAGAAGATAATAAAACAGCATTATTCCATGTTTTAATTCTTGTAGTGGGCATTTCTTTGGGCTCTGAATTATTAGAAATATTTATACAAATAATTATAAATAATTACTAGCAAAGAGAAAAAAATAGGGCAGTAATTTATATTTCCAAATACATGCAACATTTTTGGCCTAAAGTAAAGTGTGCCATACTCACTGATTAGTGGAGGGGTAAAAATACATGGTGCTTGAAGAACACAAAGAAAGACCTGGAACACATATTTAACTTTAGCTAGTTTAGCTGRTGTAGCTGGATGGCAGTATAATATAGTTTTGGCATCTTTTGTGAATATTTTTATTCACTGATATTTTTGAAGGATATTGTTTCAAACATGGCTTGCTTAAGTCAAAAATGTTAATAAGCAACGTTTTGTTGTGAGGTTTGAACGGTTCTCTTTGCCGTTCATTTCCTGTGGCAGTTGAGATGCCTCATGTGAAAGCCCCTGACTTTTGGATTTTGGCTCTGCATGGAGGAATCTTCTGACAGCTTCTCACAGAATACATCCCTGCGCCCTCCTTGCTACCAAAACCCAGGCCATGCAAACCCAATACATTCCTATCTTTGAAAGTTGCACTAGAGATTTTCTGGTTTTAATGTTTATGGGTTGAGCTGTGTTTGCTGCAACTCTTGGGTTTTAAAAGCCAAGCAGGTAGATTAGGATTACATTTYGTATCCTTTTTCAATGAGAACACTACCAAAGATTTTGTTTTCAAAAGGAGTCTGCTGATCCTCTTGTACAGTGTTGTTACAGGGTATTATATACAGCCTAATAGGAATGCAGCTAAACTTTCAGTGTATTGTGGTTTTTGTTTATTTKGTCATACCTGTTTTCTCCTATTTTGCTCACCTTTGAGTTTGGCAGTGTGTATATGTATTCTTAAAATAATTSTGGTTTGGTTTTGCGGTGCTACTTYGGATATCTCMAAGAAAGCACTGATGAACACTTCTCARAGGTTCAGCTGGGGTGGTATTTAGGGCTGGCTCTGGAGAGCTTGCTGTTTTGGGTCAGGGAACTCTGGCTTTGCAGAGTCAAGCCTTGAGCATCACCTGTGTGAGCAGCTTCAAGGATGGAGGATGCACATTATTAGCCATGGAGCTGCTTTCTTGAATTGCCATTTTAGGTGGCTCTGTAGCCCTCTGACCTGCTGCAACAGGTGACAATTGCTGGGAAGCCTCTGGTTCTTGTCATACTTAGCATCTGTCATACTTCAGTGACATAGAAGCTATTTGAGCTTTCTCCTCAAGCAAAACTGAAAGATATCCCAAATATTTTGCTTATGTCTTATAAATCTTTAATATATCCAGGGGTTAAGTGCTGTCCTGCAGGACCCAGTGGGCATTTGGAGACCATTTTATGGCCTGGATGCAGACACAGTTTTGAGTTAAGTGGTTAGGAGAGGGGAATGGGCTACTCCTAACCTTCTGTGAAATGTCCAAGCTCTCAAAATCAAGTTGCTGTGTYCTGCTGATTACAGCTTTCATCTGGGCTTTAGCTTGTGACAGCAAGGAGGTCATTTCATCATCAGATCTGCTCTGCTTGTGCAGTGAATGTTCCCTTCTCGTACCAAGGGRAAAACTGTATTCTCTCAAACAAACTCTTGCAATAAATTGTACAAGGAAGAATAGCTAGTTTGAGCAGAGATTACAGCTGAAAATACAGCCCAGGCCGGGGACTGGCATGAGTGGGGGAGCCTGCTGGAGGCCACTGAATGACCGGCGGCAGGGAAATGTGTGATTTACATGTGCGCAGTGACATGTAGGGGGAAGAGGGCACTGTGTGCTAGGAGTGCTGGGCAAGTTACCCAAATTACCATGAACAGCATGATACCAGACACTGGCTCAGATTCTGACGGCCCCCTTGTTTCCAGGAAATGCTCACAAACCRCAGGTGAAAGAAAGCGCTCCCTTTCTGCGGCGGGGCTGAGGCAGGATGTCCTGCCCGKCCCTTCAGGTGACAGTGTGTGTGACAGGCCCTGACCCTGCTGTGTCCTCTCCCCAGATGGCCGCGGATCCATGTGCCGAGCAGCCCCGGGCCCTGCTGGGCATGAGGGCCACAGGGAGCCGCAGCCACTGAGCCAAGGAGGGGGCGGGTTTGGCCATGGCCTCCCCGCRGCGGGCCCGGCGCTCCGGCCCTCCCGACGGCGGCTGGGGATGGATGATCGTGGCCGGCTGCTTCCTCGTCACCATCTGCACCAGGGCCGTCACAAGGTAAAGGACTGGCTGCATTGTCTTGCTGACCTGTTTGGGGCATTACCTTTTCCTTTTTCCCCRCTTTAGGTAGAGGGTTTGGGATTTCCCCTGATGTCCCACATCTGGCTAGGTACAGACTCTCTCCTGCTACATTTTTTGAGGCTTCCTTCAACCCCTAAGGCTGCAGGGACAGCCAAAGGATTATGAGACCCTGGTTTTAGTCTCTCCACCGCTGACAGCTTTCAACACCCGCTCTTTGATTTCTTACAGAATCAAGGCCTGGGGCAAGTAGCGCTATTTCAGGCTGGGGAGGAAGGAATTGTGTAGGGTCTCTTTGGGTTCATTGTGTCCCTCTGACCCCACTGTGTCCCTCTGACCCCACAGSCGTGCTCGTTTCTGCCTGTCCCGGTGAATTAGCTTGACTCCTAAATCAATGTGGAAAACGTGTAAATACCCTCTTCTCCTACTGCAAGCATTTCAGGTACTGTCCTGCCTGAGAAGGTCCAAGCCTTAGARAGGAGACCCCTCTCTGTACCCTTCTGGTATCTGAAATATGCAGAAAATATTTTCTCGAAAATAGGACAGGAATCGACTGCTGCCTTGCATAAACATAATGCAATCTTGGATGAGATTGCTTTTACAGTAACTTTGATGTTGACTGGAGACAGAGGAGCCTGGTGTGTGTGAACATGGACATTTTAGCTATATTAAGCAGAGAGATAAGCASTCTGCTAAGTGAGGAAAACTGAATGAATGCCTTGTGGACAGTCAGTATAATGTAAATACAATGTTTCTTGCCTTAAGTTCTTTCTTTTTAAATAAAGCTGTCAGGTTTAGGGAATCTAAGGTCTTTAGGGATCTAGCGTCTTGGAGTCAATGGCATAGAAGGGGACAGAAATAGTGATACAGTGTTAATGTATATACAAGTACCAATTCCATAATAACAGTGGGGAATTCCTAGTGGAATGCATTCCTTTTTCATGTGTGAAATGTGTTACATCCAAGAAATCATCCAATGGCTGGCCCACATTAGACTATAAAGAAGAATGAAGTATGTGCAAGAAAAAAGTTGAAGCAAGTAGTAATTCATGGATTTAGGAAAAAGAGGGGGAAAAGACATCTCTTGTTGATTCAGAAAAGAGAATGAAACTGCACCCTTTAAATCTGCTCCTCTGCAGGGACATGTTGAACCTGGTAAGTGGAGCAAAGGACCCTCTCCTGGAAGCATTYCATTAAACTGTTGGAAGTCCATGGGTGCCTGTGGTGTCTTGATTCTCTATTTGTGAGGAATCGCTCTGCCCTTGTCTATCCATGAGCACACAACCATGAGTGGCGTTTGCTCCACAGGCACTTTGTTGGCCCTGCCCGCACAGTTCGGGCAGGTGTGGAACAGCGAGTGGCAGGGTCAGTGAAGAACTGGGAACCCTGGGCTTTGTGTGCCAGGGAAGCAATATCATAATATGGGCTGTAAGTTGCTGGTGGTAATTTCAATTTCTTTCCAGTTCAAAAGACTRTGAATTATAAAAAGTCTAGCAGCAGATAGCCCAGCAAGAAACATGTGATATTATAATGTTCATGACCACAGTTGTGATTTTCCTGGAATCTGTAGAGGACTTCCAGTGGGTACTATTTATACTGAAGAGTGAGACCGGTGTTTTCTGTGAGGCAAATGSTCCATGTTCAACAGACTGGTGTTCATGTTTTTTGTCCTAGGTGCATCTCCATTTTTTTTGTGGAGTTCCAGGCATACTTTGGGCAGGATTATGCCAGAACTGCTTGGATCCACTCCATTGTCGACTGTGCTACGATGCTCTGTGGTGTGTATTACCCTTTTAATGGAATGTGGCTGCTTTTGCATCAGCTCCATCTGGTTTTAGCACGCTCACAAGTTGGGGGAGTCAGCTGGGAAAGAGTGATGCTGTGGGACCTCTGGGGTATGGAATATCCAAGCTGCTTCCTCCAACACAGTTGTGYCAGGAAGGGAGTGTCTTCATAGTAAAGAAAAGAAGCAGAACTTTGTTTTGTGAAATGATGTAATTTTTCAGAAATGTACTTTTGTCGAGGTCTGTTGGGACGTGCCATTTTTGAGAGTTGTTAACTGAGCGCTTGTTTCTTTTGCCTTTTGATTGGAGTCATATTTGGGACTTAGCACRGGATGTACATCTTGCCTCCAGATCAAGTCACAATCATCCTCCTTTTACTGAAAGTGTATATTTACAAATAGTCTTCTCCCTTTAAAAAAATTTAATACTACTGAAAATGATGTGCATCAACACARCAGTTGTAATGAATTTCTCATGGGCTTGTTTTAAAGCCGCATAGCTAGGYAAAAATCCATGCCCTAGTCCTGTGGAACAGGGTTAATCCAAAAGAATTACAGGTAGTAAGGGAGGAGAATTACAGGAGAGGGCTGGTTATGAYATCCCGTGATAGAGGCAGGGTGAACTGGGAGCCATCAGTGTTGGCAAAGTGCAGGAGAAGGGTAGCAGCCCTGGAGATGTCCAAAAGATGTGAGTTCCCTCCTGATTGGGTCTGACCCAGAGCCCACAGGGTGGGASAGCTGTGAGGAAGGACACCTGAAGTTACTGAGGGTTGAAGTGCAAATTCCAGGTGGGGAAAGGTCTGAGTGTTGTAAGTGTGGAGTAAGGAATGTGTGGGCTGTTACTGTAGCCTGTCTTGACTCCTTGACACTGCAGATTAGCTGTGTCCCATAATGACTTTTATCTGTGAAAATGGCTGCTGGGAAACCCACTGTCAGTTTCAGGTTTATTCTGACTTTCAGAAAAATCATGTTTTTTAAAAAGTTATTTTTCTATTTTTTTGGTGCTCATGCCATTGYGATATGGAGATGTTGAAAGACCACTCTGTAGCTGCAATTGCCATTTTCCCCTGCTTCCTTCTGCTTCCTTTTCCTGCATGACTGTTGCACTGAACTGTGTGTGAGGACCTGCCATTAACTACCAGCTTTATTTGTTTCTTTGAAGCCCCGCTTGGGAGTTTAATCAGTAATCATGTATCCTGCCAAGTTGGTATCATGCTAGGAGGGCTGCTTGCCTCTACTGGACTAATTCTGAGCTCATTCGCCACCAGTCTGGAACATCTCTACTTGTCCTTAGGAGTCCTCACAGGTAGGATGCATTCAGCCCCTTTGTTGCTGCCAGAACACAGCACAGGAACACTAAAAATGATGGGCGATCTCTTCTCCACATCATATTGACACTGCACTGGTCCAACAGAGATACTCAGACCTGTTCCCTTCATTGTAAAAGAGGCTTTGGCTGCCTCTGTGAGAGCTTCAGCATTGACTGATCTCATAAAACCCAAATGCAGTACCCTGCAAAAACAACCCTGACCTTCTATTAGAAAGAGGATGATGGACAAGGTTCTGAAATTATGGGAGGTCRGGAAGGACAGCTGTTGTAGTTGATATAAGTGAAAATGTTTCCTTTTTTGCCTGTGATTTGGAAGGAGTTTATTACAGTAGAATTTCTAGGCTGCCTGAAAAGGTTTRCATGTTTAAAAAAAAGTTTAAATCAAAACATAAGTGTAAGCAAGAGGTAGAGGAGCACTTGGTGAATACCTGGCACCACAGCTGGACGCCTTCCTTTTGTCTGCATTACATTCTAGTTGAAAAGCAAAAAAAAATTGCTGGTTGGTAGCCTTGCTGTAGCGGCYCTTCCATTGGTGCTCAGGTATGGTGACAACAAATCCTTGCTCTGTCCCATCTGCCTGTGTTGTGCACAGAGCAACTTGAGAGGGACCCGTGGTCACACTGACATTCCTTCCTCATTAATACTGACCTGGTAGCCACGGTGATATAAGACCTTGTACTTGGTCCCCTGCAGTTTAGTAACGCGTTGGTGGAATTACTGCAGTTCACATGCTGCCAACAGCTTATTTGGTTTTTTTTTTTTAAAAAAAAAAAATCCTTGTTGTAGCGAATGTTGCTCCTGCATTACAATGTTAATCCTTGACAAATGTGTTCATAACAAATAAAAAGGCTTCTTGTAAGTCGAGGGACTGTGCCACATACCACGCTAATACCTCTGAGGCTTCCTTAGTGGGAGCTGCTGTAAATACCGAGGTGGAAAGGCAGTTACAATCTGTACATGGAGTTGTAAAGAGCCAGTTCTACAAGCAGTGAACTTCTGGTCTATGGGGACTGATAAACAGAGAGGTGAACTGTTGGTAAAGGCTAAAGGTGGTGCCCCCCACCCAGAGAGCAGATGGGACCATAACAAGTGAATGTCCAAATAAGCAGCAGGATTTGAAACCAGAGGTGAGATTGGGAAGTCTCAGTAAGTAGCAGAGATCCTTCTGTGAGGTATGAAAATGTTTTCAGCCCTAAACTTTCCACTTTTCAAAGGACWTTTGTTGGCTTTTTTGAGACCTACTTACCGCTTCTGACTCACTAAAAAATAAATAGTGTGTATGCCTAATAGAGTATGGTTTTCACTGCTCAAGTGATGATGTCTAGCTCAGGCCTGCTCCTCTGGCTCTGCTGCCTGTATAGGTCCAAGTCCAGCTTTGTGCCCTGATTCTGCCCTCGCCTCCTGAGGGGTGCCAGACTGGGCACCCGCCGCCCAGAGYCCCTCTAATCCACTTATTCCATCCTGGCAGGTTTAATGCCTGCCCCACACAGTGTGGCCTTTGAGGAGGAYGTGGCAAGCTGGTTACAGCACTGGGTGATTATCTCCTCTATATGCAAGTTCTGACAAAGGCACTRGTGGCTGTTTTACCCTCAATGAAGGACATGCTCCAAAACCCTAGTGAGAAACTCATTTCTATGACTGATTCAGWAACGCAGGTTTTGGTGTTAGGGCAACCACTTGGTGATTAAAACCTGCTCTCTGATTCTGCAGCAGAGACCACAGTCTTTTTCTACGTCCAAGAGACTAATTTTGTTTGTTTACTCAATTGGATCTGGATTTGTTTTCTGAGGCTTTTCTCCCCTCTTTACTTGTAGACAGGGATTTACAATGGTCAGAACTCCAAGCAGCTGTTGCATGGAGTTTGTTTAGCTGACCAAGGAAGGGGTTTTTGTMGAATATTAGTAACAGGGACAGATTCTTTGTCCTGTGCATCAGACACCTGAAAATGAGTGTTCAGGATTGCAACAGACTGAAACACAAAGTGGTGCCTCATCAGGAGAGTGTGTCCAGTGCCAGCATTGGACAAGACCTCATCTTGCATGCAGGAGAAGCTGGCACACCAGTTCTCTGATGTTTAACGATCATCCTTGTTCTTGTTATGAAGTGAACCCCCATCACTTCTTTCTGAGTCTTATTACTGTGGATTAATCATCAGCAGTTAGTTTTGTCAAGTCAGTGACCCTGCCAGTGGAAGAAAGATTTCATCCCAGTTTCTCACCACACTGAGGCTGGGCTTTGTGATGCAGAATCAGAAAAAGCTTTCCATTCATTTGTGCTAATGAAAAGACATGGTGTGGTTTGATTGAATATGTTCCATATGTCATGCTTAGTATTAAGCCATCTGCACTTTGCTTTCTCTTCTAGGACTTGGGTTTGCACTTTGTTATTCTCCAGCCATTGCCATGGTGGGCAAATACTTCAACAAAAGGAAAGCACTGGCGTATGGAATAGCCATGTCAGGAAGCGGAATTGGTACCTTCATCCTGGCCCCCGTGGTCCAGCTCTTAATTGAGCASTTTTCCTGGCGAGGAGCTTTGCTCATCCTGGGAGGTTTTGTTTTAAACCTCTGTGTCTGTGGTGCCTTGATGCGGCCTATTTCTCTTAAGGAGGATTGTAAAACTGCTCCTGAGTTTCTTGAACAGGATTATGTTCCTGAAACAGAGAAACAAGACTTAAAGCGCATGTCCATCTGTTCACCTTTAATCAAATTATGGCCTCATGAATGTTTATGCTACTGTTCATGGAAGGAATATGACTTTTTGCTGATGCCAGGCTTCATGGTGCTGGCAGTGTCAGTTTTATTTATGGCATATGGCTGTAGCCCTCTTTTTGTCTACCTAGTGCCTTATGCTTTGAGTGTTGGAGTGAGTCATCACCAGGCTGCCTTCCTCATGTCCATACTTGGTGTCATAGACATCATTGGTAATGTCACCTTTGGATGGCTAACAGACAGAAGGTAAGGGCTTCTGGCTGATSAAGTGTAAGCTTTAGCTGGTGGGAGGCTGGATGCAAGTGAGGTATAATACACACAAAAGTTAACATTATGGACTCTTTCTGTAGCATGAGTAACTTAAAGAAACCCCAACAACACAATCTARCTTCAGAAATGCTTGCTACTTAATCTTTTTGCTCTTCTGAGTTTGTTCAATTCTGCTGGTTCAATATATTTTTTTATTAAGAAATTATGTGTTTGTATGTTTGACAGTGGAAATGTAACCCTTTGCCTGAGATATGTTGAGTGTGACTCCATCTCTATTTCCTAGAGGATTTCTCCCTGCTTCCTCTGCCTTTCCATCTCTTTTGTGCTGGTGGAAGGCACAGGAATTATGGAAGAGGGTCAAGGGTCTGCTCCCATAATCTCAGGCACATACTTGGAAAGATTCACCAAAATTTTTTTTTTTATATTTTCCAGTATGTAAGAACTCACCATGTTTTGTGAACTCAGCTCTCTCCAAATGTCAGTATACARCATCTGTAATATTAGTAGACACTGGCTAAATTAACATGGATTTTGATTTTAAAGCATGCATTCTTTGCACTTATTCGGTTTGTGGGAAAAATCAGTTATTGTTTTTGTGGGGCAGGAAGGAAGGGAATTGCCATCTTGTTTAAGTCCTACTAATTCTTATTTAAGGGCTGACTGGAAAGGCGACCGCTAAAAGAGGTGCACTGCAGTATTTTGTGCATAATACTGGGGACACCTTGCTGAGATGGGATGTAAAGCCCAATGAAATACTGCTTTGAACATTGAAACTTCACGGGACTCCAAAATCCTGGCAGCAGGGTTGCATCACTGGGAACATCCTGAAGAACACTGCAGGCAGCATGGGCTGCTGCTTGCCAGATGTTTCTGCAGCTGTTGGTGGGCAGTTTTCCCTACCTGGGCTCSTCAGTGCTAAGTTTTTACCCTTGAATATTGTGCAGGAAATGGACTTAAATTTGAGCTGTATAAAAGAAAGAGAGTCTGAAGCACTGCATGCCAGGGCATAGAAGCTGAGTTGCTSGTTTCAGTGGTAATATTTTTCTTTTCTGTTTTGAATCATGCAGGTGTCTGAAGAAGCATCGGTACTTTTGCTACCTCTTTGCTGTGGGAATGGATGGCCTCTGTTGTCTCTTCCTGCCAGTTCTCCAAAGCTTCCCCTTGCTTGTGCCTTTCTCGTTTACCTTTGGCTACTTTGATGGAGCYTATGTCACGCTGATCCCTGTCATGACAGCAGATGTAGTGGGRACTTCTTTGTTATCATCAGCCCTGGGCGTTGTGTATTTTCTTCATGCCATACCATATCTAGTGAGCCCACCCGTGGCAGGTCAGTTTTGCCGAATGACTTTCCTATCATCTTACCAGTACTTCAGATTTACTATTGATGTGATGGAAAAGAGGAGGAAGGACAGCAAATTTACAGTGAATGTGGAGGTAGCCTCTRGGTAAAGAAATAACACACCTAGATATTCATAAGTCTTTTGATCTCCCATCCTGATCTCAGTGGGATGATTTCTGCATATAGAGTGAGATGAAATTTAAAAAATAAACCACTGTGGAATGGGCTTCCGAGAGCTGTTGTATCACCACTTCATGTAGTTTAGAAACTGTGTGAGCAGAAGGAGCAAAATATTTCACTGTGAAATTATGTGATTTTGAAAAATATAAATCTTTCTAAAGAGAGTTTAATGCCAAGATWTTTTTGCCATGTGGAAGGCTTGGTCTTTTAATCTCTAAGTTGCTTTGAGCAGGTGGGTGAGTCACCTCCACTCCTGTTTGRTCATAAGCTCATCACTGTAATATCTAGCCATTGTTTTTTCCTTCCCTACCATTACTGTGAAGTAAAGATGAGAGCTGTACTCTTAYTATTCTTTAGAAAGAACTTGACAATTTTTAATATTGTGGAAGGTCAGAGATCTTTTTCAAACAGCCAAGTATATCTATCTTGCATATTTTGTCTGATATTTACATCAATTCCCAATTAATTACTGCTCMTGAAGCTTTTAATTTAATTTTCCATGGCAAAAAATATTGCAAAATAAATGATTTTAAGTGAAGCATGAGCCCAGGGCATAGCTTAATAAATATTTCTGCATGAGGATCTTAGAGCTCTCTAAGCTTCCTAAAGAAGATTTTTTTTCCCTGCAGGGTGGCTTGTGGACACAACTGGAAGCTATACTGCATCATTTCTCTTGTGTGGATTTTCTATGATATTTAGTTCAGCACTACTGTGCTTTGCAAGAGTAGCAAAGAAAATCAAAAGAACACATTTGCGGTCCCTCACTGGTAATAAGGCCTTGAAACAGCACATCTGGACAAATGGAGCAATAGCTTATTCTGTCACAGCAGAATTAGACCAAAAGGATGTTGAATTTTTGGCTGTGGATACAAACAGGTGACAAGTGCCATCGAGATGCAGTAGGGCACAGCCTGAGACAGATGTGGCTCTGTGGTGTTACACTGTTCAAAAYGCTTCTTCTGTGAAACAAAACATCTCTCCATTAGATTTTTCTGTCATGTTTTAGATGGCTTAAATCTACACACAGCAACAGTAATACCAAGTTAATACAGTAATAGAAGAAAGCGAGACTGAAAATAGTTTGTAGATACAAATGTTCACAGATTAATTTGAAATGCAATGTTGACTCCACAGGTATCAGTCACCAAAACTGACCAATAACATTTACATTCAAAAATATTATTAATGACACCAGCTTTTTCATTTTGTGGTCTATTATATTTCAATGGACTAATCACACCCACCACAAAAAGATCTCCACATGTATCAGTCTGCATGAAACTATTTGCAAACAACTGATTTGCAAACAACTCTTTCAAATGCCAGAGCCATCTGTTTTTTGTTTTGTTTTGGTTAGTTTTTTTATTTTGTGAGGTGGTTTGTTCTGTTTTGTTTTGTTTTGTTGGGGTTTTTTTTCAGAAAATCTGGCAGGAAACTGATTTGTGCTGAAAATATCTCTGGAGCAGCTTTAATTTTTACAATGTGCCTGAACTTTGTATATACATTGCAATTTAATTTCAACTATGGTTTTAGACCTGCTTTCCTAATCCCTCTACAGCAAAATTTGTTATGATGTTTTTTTTCTTCTGGATACCTTTAAAATTTGACATTCTGGGTATGATCTTCCCAGCTGATCCTTGCCTTGGAGGGTGGAAAAGGTGCTGTGGTGGGTCTGCTGTTTGAAGAGGAGTAAATTTGTGCCATGGGACTAAGCATGCTGGCAGACAAACATKCTTAACTGCATTAATTGAAAGAAGCAAAGGCAGCCCAAGTGATCAGAGGAGAGGCTCATGGGTTTTCAGATACAGAGCCTCTTCCTCTTGTTAAATCAGCACCTATTAGAGAGCTTTGGAGTCCATGCAACCAGATGACTGAGAGATTGTCCACCCCACAGGCTGATAGTGGAGAAGAAGTTGGCAGAATTATTTCTGTGTATTGCAAGTGGCAAATCTATCGATTTTCAGACCCAGAAGCTGTATCTTCAGCTGGAGCAAATTGCTCATTTGTGCCATGTGAAGAGCTGTCAGGTCACTTTTTCTTGATGGCCACCAAACAAGAGCTGTGACTTGTTGATGGTTTCCTGCTACTTGCGTGCGATAACTTACTGATGTGATGGTCTAATAAATACTGGGATGTTTCTACATTTCCAGAGTAAAAACATTGTCAGCAATGGAGGAACTTCACATTCCACAATACAAATAGTTTCAGTGTTTTGATGCTGTATAAAGTTGTATTCTGTTCATYAACAAATTGATCAGAGTCCAAATAACTTCCATTAACACTGAACTAGTAGTTTCRTTAGTCTGCAGTGTGTTCAGTGGCTGCTCATGGTGTCCTTTTCTACCCTGTGCCTTGGAAGGGAAAGCAACATAGACTGATGCTCATCAACTTGGTTTAGATCAAGAGTACAGACATAGGGGTATAATGTAATTATATATATATACACACACACATATATTTATGAATAGCACATGTATCAAGTAGTTTTATTATCCAAGTGTACTTTAAATACAACACATTAAAATGGTTTGACTTCGGTTGTCTGGGTTTAAATGAAGCATTTCTTGCTGTTCTGCTTCAGGAATGTAGTCAGAACCAGTAGAAAGATCTACGTGCACACAGAATAAGTGATGGGAGTGCAGARTCTACTTAAAACCAATGACATAATTTTCCTTCTGCTTAGCATGAAAATTGAGTCTTGGGCCCCAATTTTGTTTTTAATATATATYCATAAAAAAGAACAAAAATTATCCATAAGTGTTTCTTATATGAGTTGGGAAAAATATGCACATTTGGAAAAAAAATGAAGTGGTTTTATTAATTAGTACTGATGAAGATAACATTATAGATCTTAATACAATATTTTAATATTAAAAAGAGTAGGGAATAGTGTGGTCAACAAAAAACAAAAGTGATTTTGAACAAGTTATAAATGATCACTGTCATTCACTTTACAAAAATTTCATTACTTTGTTTACCACATTACAACACCTCACCAGCTGTTCATATCAGAACTGCATACTGTAAAACCCTGTTGGAATAATGCTATATGCATTTTTATCATAGGAAAGTATGCTGTGTTATTAGCATTTTAATTTTTTTTTATTTCAAGATTTTTTTTCATAGGCTTTTCCCTTTATGTGTTTAAAGCAATACTATTTGTGTTAAATATCTTATTTAGCAGCACACATTCAACCGGTTTCATATACAGACCTTTTGTAGAAAAAGGTAGAATTCTTTCAGGGCTTTCTAGCACTGTTTTTGCTCCGACTTCAGCTGATAGAGAAAAGCTTATATAGCAGAACCATGATTTTTGTGCATAAAACACACTGTGAAATATCAGCCCTGTCATGAATACCCCCACTAAGAAACAGAAGGCAGGATGCCTGACAAGAAATGATCTTCAAGTGGAAGAAATGGGAATACAATCCAGGCTGGAGAAGCCTCATGCCAAGCTTCTAGCTCYTGGTCCACACAACCCAAGCTGAACAGTTCACCTTCATCCTGCCATGTGAAATATTTCAGGCAACACTTTATAGATGTCTCTGTCTTATTATATTTTTAAAGTATGATTTATTGTATCTGAAATATTTTTTTCGGAGATCATAATATCCAGACTGTCCTCCATGGAGGACATTTCCTGGCATGGCACACTGTGGGATGTGCTGAGATTCATCTGAGCTAGCTGTGAACAATTTGCCAGACTAACACTGTATGTTTGATGATTTAGGGGTCTTTTCCAACCTGAATTATCTGTAATTCTATGTTCCCACTAGCCCTGATGGATACAAGCATTGATGGATATGAGCTTGGCTGGAGCACTGCACTGCTGAGCCTGTCTGGCTCCTCAGGACAGCGTGGTTTGGCTTGACATGGGGTAACATTTGTCTGACACAGATTCTACCTCAGATGGATCCTGCCTGGGATTATGCTCTATTCTGTGCAGTGGATGGGAATTCAGTGTAAGTGAAACTGCTTACAACTGCTGAAGTTATCCCACCTGTTTCCATTCCATGAGATCTGAAATGGGGAAATGAAATAACAATTCTTTTGAAATTATTCATATTCTAGCAATAATCTGGGACATTGAATACATTGTACTGTGAAAAGCTGTGTGAAAATTGGAAAAGTCTAGTACCTTCTGTTGAAAAATGGCTCTTCTTTTTCAGAAAAAGCATTTCTGAAACATTCCTGTCAGCTTGGATAATAATTTRTCTCCTGAAAGACAAAGGCTATGTTACTATATGGTGAATGTATTTTATATTGCTACAACAATTCCCTGTTTGCTTTCTAAAGTGTTACAAATTTATGTGAGAAGGAAGAGCTTGATTAACTTAAGCTGCAACACTACTTCGTGGTCAGCATAGCAAAGTCCTTAGTGGGGTTTGCCTCAATAAATAATACCTCCTTCTTACTGACTATTCTGGTGTATTTCAGTAGAATTTTCTATATACTTTAGAAGGTGATTTTGATCCATAAATTAATTCTTCCTGAAGGCTTGCCTTCACTCATTTTTTTTCTTCACTGCTAGCATAGGCTCCAGAGATGTGATTGGGTGTGAATTGAGAGGTGTTCAGCCTCTGTGCAGCTCTAGTTTTGCCCAATGGATTTGGACTCCAAAATGTGTATTTAATTTTGTCTGCCTCCTGAAGCTCAAGCTCAACCTGCTCCCGTGTCAGCATGCCAGGCAATGCACCAGCACCACCCTGTGGAAAATAACGTTTTTCTTCATTTACAAGAGTTCGACAAAATGCAGACGGTTGTATTTGCATACAGCGTCCCCAGGTAGTACTGTGGTCCAGAGCAGTCCTCCAGAATACAAAGGAGGTGAGGGACAACAAATACACTTTTTGCATCACTATGTCTCAAAGTCAGTTTCTTCACTGTGCAGGAGATTGAGCTGCCATGACTCTTCATAAAAATCCTGGCTCCCTTTTTTCCCCAAATCATTTATAGTTTATTTCTTCAAGGCTCTTTCTCCAGGAGCCATCCTGGTCGCAGGCTGTGGAAGGGGGAGAATGGATGTGCCACCATGGYTTTGGGAACCTGTGCCACCTCTTCCTCAAAATCTTCCCTGCTGCCCTCCACCCTCTATGCCCTCAGTAGAGTTTAGGTAGCAATGATCCTGAGTTTAGAAGCCCTCAAGATTCAAAAAGGCAGTGAGGTCATCTAACATAGCTTTTGTCCCCATAGCTGAGCACGCCAATGTAGGTAGTCAACAATTCCTGACTTTGACCCCACTGTTTTTCCAACTAGCTTTCAGGAGTGGTCTGTCAGAACTCCTTGCTGTCGTCCCCCCTCACTGCTCCTTCCCTGGCTTGTTCCTTCCCTAGGTAGGGCTGCCCTTCTTTGCAAGACAAGCTGGTGGGTGGCTGGGAAACAAGGGTAGATTTTGGCCCAGCTCTCTTAGGGTGCTTGTATTGCTTACACTTGATTGGTTTTGCTTGTGTTATGAAAGATTCTCTGAGGAAGAGATGAGAGGCTTTATTGATGTTTTGTGATGTGGCATTGGTATTTTGTGCTCCTTTGTGACTTGCCATCCTGTCTGTACAGGGGGGCTGTTGTGGGTGCAGGAATGCTCCAGGGTGGCTAGAAACTGAAGTGCCCATCCTTCCTGATGGGCTCTGTTACCAGTTTGCTTCATGCTATAGTACTGGCTAGGGCTCAGAAGGGTTTTGGAAGTACAGCATTAATTTTCTCTGAGTATTATGGTGTATTAAATGAAGGYACACTACTGAGGAATTAGGCCAGGCTGTTGTAAAGACTACTGACTTTTAGTTGGGCATCTGAAGACAATCACCTTATCGACCCTTCTGGTCATTTCAGTCCTTTCTTCCATTCACGTACACTCTGTGGGCACTGACCCCTTTTTCCACATCCCTTGTGTTCTGCTGCCCTGCTCTGTGGTGCTCACCCAACTCTGCTCTGCCTGTACTCTGCCCTCCACGTACAGTTCAGTTCATTTCTTGTGTGTGTGTTTGTGATCCCTGGCTTGTTTTACAAGCACGGCCACAGGTAACCATCTCTTTGCCATCTCAAATTCTGCCTTTTCTTCCTCTCCAGATGTTTGCTGTACTGGCTTCTGATAGTATGTTTTGGGGAAAATAGACAGGTGCTGTTTTGTGCACAGTTTGATTCTTTGGTGCAATGCCTCTGAACCCAGCTCTGCTCAGAGCTCAGGGAAAATAAATGGGGCTGTCTCCTCAGCTTTTCATACCCTGCCAGAACTCTATCCTCTTACATCTTCAAGTGGCCATTTCTCTTTACTTAATCTGCTAACATGAAGACTGGTCATCAGAGAGATACCCAGAAGCAACAGTTGATGGATTCAATAGACTTTATTGGTTCACAACAATAATACACAATATTTTGTAAGCTTTTCAGAGGARTAGCTGAACCGTGTTTATTTTTCATAATTAAACAGCATATAAGGTAGTAAACTGAACAAGCCTTCAACAAAAGTTTCTTCTACAAAACATACTTCTAAAATATTTTTAATAACTTCAGATATTCTATTTGAGTATCAGCATGCCCTTCAGGTGTACAGACAAAATACTACAATATAATTACTTTATCTTTTTCTCAGTAAAAGGAAATATCTGATTTTCAGCTTAGAAGTTCTGTGTACTACAGATCATCACTTAAGTACAACATTTATACCAATGCTAGCATTGAAGACTAAGTTAGATTAGCTGTAAATACATATTATATATATTATATAGTTATCCAAGCAAGCTCTCTGTTATTGAATGAGCAAATTAATAATAATTTTCTGCAGTTTCTACWTTATCACCAGAAAGTGATAAAGCATCACCTGTGCTTCACCTGGTTGTAATGTYTACCTTCAAATGAAAAACAAACAGAAAAAGTTTCAAGAGTGTTGAAATGTCCTTGGTTTTGGGAATTTTTCGGAACATAGGACTTTTGAGAGCTTTAGCTTGAGATAGAAAGCTGTAGCTCACATAATGCATTCTGATATTCTTCATTGTTGGGATCCAAAGCAATGGCTTTCTTATAGCACTCTATCGCTTTTTGTTTCTCATCATTTAGGCTATGAACAAGTCCAAGTGTACCAATATCTGTTGCATCTCCTAAACCATATCTAATTTTCTTTTGCAACAATTTCTCTACAGCTTCTCTGCACTTATTTCTTCCATAGGAATCTTTCTTGATTTTCAGACATTCTATGTAATACTTAATGGCTTTTGATTCTGAGCTCATGTCAAAACGCTGAAAATTGCCATAATTGAAGTAGAGTTCTTGCTTTTCCGCACAGGATAGATTATCTCTTTGAAGCACTTTCTGAAATGTCTCTTCTGCTTCTTCATACCTCTTGCCTAGTGCRTATATGCTTGCTAGGTCACTATAGGCAGAAACAAATTTTGGCTTTTTTTCTATCACTGTTTTAAAATGAAAAATGGCACATTCTATGATATTCTCTACTTCCTTTTGAAGCAAGTCTCCCATCTCTTTCAGTTGAACTATCTTGAATCTGTAGCAGATTCCTAGTTGGTGATGCAGAACAACAGAATTTGGCGTCAGTTCTAGGGCCTTTTTGAAAATCTTCACTGCCTTGTCGGTTTCTTTTTTCTTTCTRTAAAACATAGCAGCATATCGCAGGAAAATAGGAAGAGCAGGGGTTTTCTGCAGTCCTTCTTCAATGTACCTCTCCCCTTCATCAACTTGTTTTAATCGCTGAAGTTCTAATGCAAGTAATGCCATAACGATCGTATTCCTTGGATTCAGTTCCACTGCCCGCTTCAGGGCTGCAAGGGATGGGCTCACCTCTTCACAATTCCTCTGAGCTAAATTTTCCAAACGATACATTGCTATTGCATAGCCAGCATTAAACTCTGGGTTATCGGGCTCACTCTCCAGAGCTTTTTCAAAGGAATTCTTTGCTCTCTCRAAGTAATTCCCCCCAAAACGTAATAACGCCCATCCTTGCTCAGCATAGATCTCTGGAAGCTGAATCTTCCAACGAGCAGTACTTGAAAGATTTTTGCAGGTATTTTCCACTTTGCTTACATAAGTTTGARCTTCTTCGTATCTCTGCATGTGGTAATAGATCCAGGCATAGTTCCCCCAGGTAACAAGACTTCTCCTGGCAATTTCATTGGGATGATGTTTTTGAACAGCTTCTTCAGCTTTTTTGAGATTACTCAGGGCTTCCTCATTTGAATTCTTTAGGTGACATACATAGGAGAGTATATTATAATCTACAATGTTGGATTCTTCAAAAAACATGATATGATCAACTATTGTTTCTTCTAGGGCCTCAAGATCTACATCCTGCTTCAGCAAAGTCCATGTAAAATGACATTCTAACTGCAGCAGGGAAATCTTCAAGGAATTCTTGGAAATGGTACTAGAAGAAATCAAAGAAAGAGTTGTTTATATCCCATTTGCTTTTTGCTATTCTTGTTTTTTCTTGCATGAAAAGAATTCAGGCAATATCAATATTCAGGCAATACCTCACTTGGTGCCCCTAGTCCACAATACTACAAACCAGGCAAAGCTGTAGGGAGCCATAGGTCTAAAGTGCTGAATAGTGGTTTAGTAATTCTCCTTGCCAGTGTATGAGGGCACCTMTTTCCTAGAAACAGATGTTGCCATGGGTGTTAAAGTGAAGGGCTGGTCTCCATAGTAAAGCTTGCACACCTCTGGGCCTCAGGAACATATTTCCTGTGCTGGGAACAATTGCTGAAGCCTACCCAAAAGATATAATCACATAATGTTCCCCTAAACTATACAGAATGTGATTGAGTACSTTTCCTTTGCCTCTGTACACTTTACGTTTTGTATTATAAATTTAATTTTTAAATTCCTGCATTTTTAAATCCTCGTATGCTCACTCGTGTTCTGCCCCCCATCACTGGTGGAATGGGGAGGAGAACCAAGAGTACAAATCGTAGGTTGAAGATCAGAATTTAATAATTTTTAATAACTGAAACAAAATAAAACATATGAATAATAGTAAGTARTAATAATAATGATAACAAAAGGAAAAGAGGAAACTCAAAGGAAAACAAGTGATGCATAATACAAGTKCTCACTACCTGCTGCCCAGTGCCAGACTCTGTCCCTGCACCYCAATCAGCCCCCTTTCCTGGTAACTCCCCCAGTTTCTATATTGGGCATGAGGTTTTATRGTGTSGAATGTCCCTTTGGTCAGTTTGGATCATCTGCCCCAGCTATGCTCCCTCCAGCTTTTTTGTGCACCTCCTCACTGGGCAGGGCATGAGACACAAAAAACCCTTGACTAGGATAAATACAACTTAGYAACAAACAAAAACTTGAGTGTGTTGTCCACGTAATTGGCATACTGAACCCAAACACTGCMCTGTACCAGCTACTGAGAAAAAATTAACTCTATAYCAGATGAAAGCAGGACAATCCCTCTCCATCTTTCAACAGCTTTTTCTTCCCAAATGGGGCCTGRGAGCCATCAGGGCAGGGTGTTATGTGGGTTTCTCCTGCTGCCATTTCCTACCTGTGSCCCAGTGTGGGTGCACAGACTGGCCTTTATCAAACAATCAAGGACACACCTTTATAACAYAGAATTGATATTTTAGTCCATACCATGCTCTTCTTAAAGAAGGAATGACAAACAATTTTATTACTGAGGCTTCTCAGTCAAATCCTCGTTTCTTAGAAAGATTTCCCTGCTATCCCTCCTGCAACACCTATCAGGTCTAACAGCCTGTGTGGCACAGCATGTGCTGCTGCTCATCTGCACAATCATGTCTTTTGGGTAAAAAAAATGAGTGAGTGGAAAGATAGCAAAATTATGAGGAGGCAAATGAAGGAAGAATGTCACAAACAAGGTTTGAGGTACAGATTACACCTGTTTGGCTGGGCACCAGCTGAACCTGCTGCAGCCTGGATTTCATCCCTGAACTTCATGCACAAAATTTTTTTGACTTTCTGTTCTGTTCACAGATACTGAATCTCATTAGAGATGCAAAAACATGGCAACATTSAAGAGCATCCTTATTTTATTTTGATTCCTCTAATAAATATTCTGTAGAATATTTTCTGTTGAGCATTCAAACAAAGTCCCCCAGTGCTTACATTTATGTAAATAATAAGCATTATTTTCCCATGGCATAGAGAAAAAGCATCTTTCAGAGACTTTCTTACCCCATGGTTTTTCTTCTCTGCTCACTTGTCTTCAGGTAGCCTCACAGCCAAGGAAGTGCTGCCCACCGTTGTTATGCTTCTGTTTTATATGGTCCAGCCCTCATGTGACCTGTGAGCAAGTTACTGGGAATCAGAAAGTGAAACTTCAGCTTTTCTCTGGGCTTGCCAAAGCAGCAGTACAGTCGGTGTGCATATGAAGAAACGAAACTGCCAGTCTCTAAGCTGCTCTTTTTCAGCCTGGCTCCGTGCCATACTTTGTGTTGTGGAGAAATTGGCAACAGCTTCTAACGTTCCCAGTGTTTACTTTGTTCAACGGCAGAGACATCCACGATAAGGAGAATATTTCAGACTGGTATGGGCTGATCTGGTTGTCATGCATAAGCTAGGGAAGGGTCTCTTCCCCCTCCTGCATCTGCTGATGCATCTTTGCATTCTGGGCCATGCTTTAGGCTCTTTTTTTATTGATGTTGTGTCACCCTCATAACACACACACACACACACACACACAGGGTCTCTGCTGCTGTACCAGGCCTGTGTTTCTCTGCACTATGTCATTGCCTAAGAGTACCAAATAGCCCACCTATAGGAGCTGTTTGCTGCTGCTCTCTACATAAACCCACAGCTATCCTTCTGCAAATAAAATTAGACAGAAGCAGTCACTTTGAGACACTGCTTTCACACTTGTGCCAAGCAAAACAAATTCACAGGCAGGTCAGGACAAAGTCAAAGTGATTAGACCTAGTAAGCTTTGGTCCTGAGGCCATGCAAAGCCATTGCAAAGCTTGCAGCCTGTTGCTGGCAAGAGCAATGCTGTGCTACAGGCTACACACATGGCAACAGAGACGGGCATGGTTTGGGGACTGAAGCACTTATGAACAACTCACTGATGCCTAGTTTAAAAAATATTAAAAATGCAGACTTGGCTTTGTAAAATTGATTTGACGGGTAAAAAAAAGGATCCAAGAAACAGCATCTAACATACATAAATAGCACCATATATAGTAAATTCAGATGTCACTTGAAGGTGCAAACCAATGAAGAAAAAGAAAGGTGTAAAAGCATGTTAGCAAGCATATAAAAATGACTCAAAACAGTCTTGTGAGAGGAAGAAGAAACCACAACCATCAGCAYCACAGCAAAGATGTCAGTGCCTGATAACTGTTCTTTTCCCTTCCTTCTCTCTTCTATCCTTTTCCTCCTTTAAAAGAAAAAAACAAAAAACAAAACAACAAAGCAGTCTTACATATTACAACTTCTTGTTTCTACAAGAATTTAGAGAGCCTTAGTAACAGACACACACATACACACACACACACACACACACACACATCCCTCTTGTGTCTCATTTAAGTCCCTGTTTGTGTGCTTGTGTGTGTGTGTGGAGGGATGCTGGAGCTGATGTTTCAGAGCTCAAGGTAAAGGTTAGTACAGCTACTACTCTGAGTGGCATTCAAGATTCTAGCAATAAGGTATCTGATAGGTGATGAAAAGAGGCAATGGATTGAGAAAGAAAAAGGATTAGGGCACCTACAAAAATGACAGTATTTCCATTTTCCTGGAAAATAAAGGTTGCAGGCAGTTCAAAAGGTTTCTGCAATGCCAAAATCAAATGTGGACACTAATGATTTATTATGCTACTAAGTATTTACAGGTTTCTTGTCTCTGCTTCTGTCCAGAACATCTGTTTTCCTTGGTCCATTGTTTGGCACATATGGGAAAAYGCAGGCATCTTCCTTCTGAAATGCAGAAATTAGTCCCAGTTTCCTATCTTTTACTAATTTAGTTGCATCTTTATGCTATGGTTTGACWCAAATAAATGAAGTGCAGGAAAGTGCTTAAATTAGAATAAGTAAGAGAACAGTTATGCAACGCCTTTTTGCAGCCATCTCTGTAACTTGCTGGGCACTGCACAGGAAAATTACTAAATCTTTCTACAGCTCTGCTGGTTTCATTTCAGAGAAAGCTGTACCCAGGCTGACTGCTCTCAGGGAGAGTTGCACTGCATAGCAGCAAATGCAGAAGCTTCTTGGAAAACATGTCCGGAAACGGGCTGGGCACAACAACTGCATTCATATCTAACACGAATCTTTGTTTACTTCACTGATCTGCACAACATGAAAAACAGGAAGAAGAACAGGAAATGTCTTCAGTTTTGAAGATTCTTCAATTCTCATAAAATGTCACATTTTATGAGAGAAAATTCAGATCTCTTTGGAGATCAGAATTTCTTTGGAGCTGAAATGGACACATGCTGACAAAGAATTCCCCCCCAGAATCATTAGCCCAGCCAAGCWATTACCTGAAATGCAATTTTCATTTAAAAATAATGTAAATTAACTATACTGTAGTAAATTACAGGATCCCTTTACATATCCTATTTTATGCACGTTTCAATTTAGTCTAGGTTAGTGTATAATTACTATGTTTGACAGCAGCAGTTGTGGCATTTTATAATTTGGGTTTTCCCCTAGGAGGGAAAAGTAACCTGCAATTAATTTGACAAAAAACTCAAGTGAATCACCGAGCAATAATTCTGCTACCCAAGATCTTTAAAATCAAACAATTCTAAGATATGGGATCCAGGAATGCAAAGAGTCACCCAGTATCTCTGTATTTAGTGACATATCCACATACCAAAACACGGGGATGGCTGTCAAAATGTCAATGATTTTTCAATTAAAATCATAGTTCTTTCTAAGCAAACAGAAACATTTCTCTTCTTCATACCCTCCTGCTCTAGCACTGTGTATTTAGTATCAGGTTTCTGTATTATTCTATGGATATTATGATAGGCCTGGGCAGAGAGAGTAACAGGAATATTTATATTAAAGGATTGAATCTGGTCCAAGTTTTTGCAAGCCCGGTCACACATGCCCTGACCACAGACACGCTTCTCTGGGAAGTTATAGTTGTGCAATGCAGTGCGTACAAAATAGCTGCTGCAGATCATGAAGATGAAACAGGGCTGCAGAAAGCTGTGACGGTAACTCTGCATGTAACTTAAGCCCGTTTGTATCAGCTTTGAAATGTCTGGGCAATGCTCGAAGATGATGGATGGGTGATGCGTGTGTTTCAGAGCAGCAGCGATTGCTGTCAGCGCTGCAGAGCCCTTTGGAAGGACGGGCGGTGCCCGGGGCAGGTGTCCGGCACCGCAGCCATCCCTGGCGCTCCCTCCGGCCACGGGAGCACCGTGCTGCCGAGGCTGCACCGCCGCCCTGCTCGCCGCTGCTGCCGCTTTCTGCACGGATCGCAAAGCAGCCCCTCGCTGGGCGGCCCTGTGAGGGCTCCGGAGGCTCCGGAGGCGGAGCACATGCAGGAGACGAAGAGGGCCAGGAAGCAAATCCACGGGCGCTGTTCTGGAGGCTGAAAGGCTTCTGGAAATGGAGCTCGGGGGGGCGGGGGGGTTCACGAAGCGTTGCTGCAGAAACGCTGAATCACAGCGGGCYGGCGGCTCAAGGCCGGCGCTGGCGGGGCCGGGCGGGCGCAGGCCGCGCCGATAGGGCCGCGCCGTGTGGGCTGAGGGCCGGCCCGGCAGCACCGCCCCCGCCGCTCCCTCCGCTCCCTCCGCGCCGCGACCCGCGGGACACGCCCGGCCTGGCCCTGCCCTGCCCGGCCGCGCCGCTGCCCCCGCCCCTGTCACCCTGAAGAGGGGTGGCACAAAACCCTCCACCGGGCTGCTCGCTCCCGCGGCAGTGCCGGGTTCTGCTTCTCCGCGGTGTCCCGGCTCCTTCTCGCCGGACCAGGATGCGGGGCCTGATGGTCGCTGCCTTGCTGCTGCAGAGCATCGCCGGCTCGGGCGCGTTCACCGCAGGGAGAAGAAATGTGGACCCCGAAACGAACATGAACATCGTGAGTGGCGCGGCCGTGGGGAAAGTGCCCGAGCCGTGTGTGCGGTGCGGCGGCGGGCGGGACGCGGGGAGCGGGCAGGGGGCGGTCGGGGCGGGCAGGGGAGAGCCCCGGCGGTTCAGCCACCTGCCAGGGCCAGCCCGCTGCTGTACCCGCTCACACCGCGGCTTACACGGCCTCTTTCTCTGCTTATCCTTCCACGTCCTTCTTGGTCCGATGTTGCCTATAGTTGACCTTTCTGTCACATTTTTTCTGTCCCAGACCTGTGGATTTTTGCTAGCGTCTTTTTGCGACAGTGTTTCAGAACCGCTAGAAAAGTGGATGTTTGTGAAGGTCCTAGCATCATGCTCCTGTGTTCTTACCCACAACTGTTTTTGTCCTCATTTGGCCTTTACTCTTAACTTTATTTTCCTTCTGCTGCAGCAGCCAACCTCTAAAATACTTTCTGTTGCTAACTGGTATTAGTTGCTCTTTCTCTGCTCCATCTAAACTCTGCCAGTTTTTCACGTGTGAGAAGATGCTTCAAGATAGAAATGCAGAAATAGGAATAGAAATAAGGTCTGTAAGAATAGAAGTGTTTGGCTCATGTAGATATTGTATCAAGGACTGAAAGCAATAATTTAGTCTAAAGATAATAGCATTKGAATAGCACTTAGCCTTAAAGTAATTTTGGAATGCTAATGTCACTGTGAATAATTAAAGACATGCTTAAAAGAAATAGCTTGCTTAATTAAATTCTTCTCCTCTTCCTTGTCCGGCAATCTAAGATAAGAGCTCTGATCATGTTTTGCATTTCTCAGGTTTTCTCAAGGCATGGTTGGTATCATAAAACCAATGAAATAGCAAGTTCACTGCCCCAGTAGAGTTGCATCAAAATAAAATAACATGAAGCCCAAGACATAAGAGATGGGAGATTAAACCTAATAATGAAATCATAGTATTAAACAGATGTGGGGATTTTTATTATTATTTTCTTGTTTGATTTGACAGCAAAGTCACTTAAAAGCTCTACAACAGACATAAGGTTTGAGGAGAAAGGCACGTCCTTCTCTCTTTCCATATGCTGCAGTTGTGCCAGTGACTTTCTTCTGTCCTTCCTTGTTTTGTTACATGTTTTGTTCAGAGCAGACAGTTAACATTTTTGCCTGCCAAATCTGAATATTGACGTTTAATCTCCTTTTCAACAATTTAATCTTTCCTTGCTGTAAGCACCCTGTGGCTGGGAACAGTCTAAGGAGTCCTTGCAGATTCCTAGGATAYGGTCTGGTTAGTTCCTGACTCAGTACTGGGATAAAGCTCATTAAGAAAATCTGCCTGGTAGGCAGATGGCACATTACTACCACACCCTTTAATTCCACATCACAGTCTTTAGAAGAAGCCCAGGATACTTTGCATATGTTCCTGGACTACAGAGACTGGCAGTCTGGCTCCAAGATGGTTTATTTTCTTTCCTCAGAGTGAAATTATTACCTTCAGAGGATACCCTAGTGAGGAATATGAAGTGACAACAGAAGATGGGTATATCCTTTCCATTAATAGAATACCTTATGGAAGAAAAGGYCGTGAAGGAAGTGATGGTAAGCTTTATGTCTGTTTCGGAAAAGAAAGAATGAAAATGAAAAAGCTCTCTTTGATTTATACAACTTCRGTTCCTGTAATAATACAGCAGAAGATTAAGAATACCATGGTTTAAGATTATAGAGGAGATGCAGGGGGTGTACAGGTAAGGAGGTGGAGGAGAGAGAATAGGGGGAATGTAAGCTCAGACTTACAAGAAAGCAACATGGGCAAAGATTTTTGTGAGGACTGCATGATGGAATGCTTTAAAAATGGGGCAGACGTGGAGGATTAGAGACACTGCATATGGAATTAACAGTGTATATGAACAGCAGTGGTTGCATTTGATATCAGTCTTGCCACCATCCCTTACAAAAGTTCCTACAGACATTCATATAAYAGCAGCCCACTTGCATAGAAATTGCATATTCTAAGGGCTGCCTCAGAATGCTTTGGACTGAAAAAATCCTAGGATTACAGGTTAAAACRTGAAGCTCTCAAAAGAAATTTATGACTGTCCTTGGGTGTGAACGAGACCTGTGGAAAAACCCTCTCTCCTGTCAAAGGCCAAGCAACAGTCTTCCTGGGCTTATCTGTTGGTTTTGTATGAGTTAGGATGTTTGCACTGTTGTCTTTCACAAGGAGTATGTAGAGATTAGTGCATGGACRAGGCCCGTCAAAACTGGCAGGTGTCTTTGTATTTAATTTCAGAGAAGCCCACAGGAAAAAGGCTGCCTTTGTACCTGCTGATTTTGTTGAATCCTTCATTGATGACATAAGCAAACAAGTTTCCTGACCCCTGGGAAGTTCCATATTCCAYTTGCCACACCCTTGACCCCAAGTTCATGTTTTGCAGAGTCCTTTAATTKTAAAAAACAAGGATGACTGACCACATTTGTGGATGTATGAGCTCCTGGGAGAATGAAGATTACAAAGTTCATGTTGATCTTAAGTTTTTATAGACTTGGTATCTTTTCTCAGRAAGATACCAATGATGTGTTACTGCTGACTTAGCGTATATATGACATATTTTTCTTTTGCAATACCTGCATGATGTGAGTAGCATTCCTTGGAATTATGTGTCACATGATGTTTTGGAGCAAAATCCACAGTTCTTCAGGGAAAAAAATTCCAGAGAACCTAAAAGCAAAACATCAAGGATTTTTGGTTTTACTTGTAAAAAAAACCCTAAAACAACTGCATATCATGGATAAGAAAGGTGTGGAAGTARGTCTGTCTTCGGCTTCTTGGGTTTGTAGTGAAGAGAACAAAATGTTCCATGCAGAAAGGGTAGTTCAAGGACCCACCTTTTTTATTCCCCYTCTGGGTTTTTTAGGATCACAGGTGATAGAAAGTCATTGTCATTATCCAACTCAGTTTGTCACATGGTTGTGCAATTCACATGGGGGTCTGGTGACTGCTTGGTAAAGTGAAAAAGGAACTGGCAGAAATTGGAGGTTAATATGAGAACAGAATTAAAGCATTGAGGCAGTTAAATGGTTTTCCCCTTCCAGTGTTACAAAACAAGCGGTAGCAGCTTGAGGAGAGCCTGTTCTTGAAAAATTCAGAAGCTGTTTGACCTGAGTTTACTAAAAGGGAAGAAGGTATCAACTTGCTCTGGTTGGCTGGACAGTATGCCATGTGGATTTTTTAACAAAATGGGAAAAGCAGGCACTCAAAAGGTTCCTTGCCACAAGTATAAAGACTTCCAGAAAAGGAAAATATTGCTAATTTGGAATTTGAAAGTTGCAGCAAACATTTATGGACATGACCTGGAATGGATGATATAGGTGACTGAAACAGTTGTGATTTTTCTGTTTCTGCTGAAAGATCCAGGTCTAAATTATCAATGGAGGAAGTATTATGTGRGTCTGTATCATAGCAGAGTGATGCGTCACTGGAGGAGGTAAATTCCTGAGTAATCTCTGACACTGAACTAAAGTTATCATGTTACCTATTTTCTGTTATTAAAGCAGAAGTAAAACTCAAAACACCTGTGCTACTGTGAGAACCAGAGTCAGATCTTTGTAGTTCCTGGAGGCCATGTTTCTCCCAAGGGATTAGATGTTAGTTTATTTTCTCTGTGTAAAGTCAGGAACCTTCAATTTTTAAATCTGTGCCATTTCCCTTTTCAGGATGGGGAACTCAGGAGTGCCTTCCTAAATTCTACCTGTGTCTTAACTGTGGTTCTTATAACAAATTAAAGGGAGAAAGTCTTTTGAAACACAGACGCCTTTGCTGGCTGCTGTACTGCTTTTAGGTTCTGCCAGAGCTTTCGTAATGGAAGAGAGGTGCATGGAAATAAAACCAGTACCAATTGCAGAGATTTCCACAGCTCAGCACAGAAGTTTGGCATTGCCTTGCCTGGAAAAGAAAGACCTCAGCAGCAAAAGCGTGGGAATGCCTTACCCAAGTTTGGGAGCAGGGCRAGGTTCATGAGTATTATAACTGTCCCTGTGTTTGGGCCATTTTGCTAAGTCTTTGTGAGTTTTAAACAGTTGTAAGGGCTACCTGTRTTTTTCTTTTAGTACCTGTTTTCTCTTGTTGATTTATGGTACACTTGTCTGTTTGGAGCTTCAAGTTATGAAACTGAGAAGTCAGTAGTTTAAAATTCTTAATGATAAAAACTAGGTTTTTATGAAAAAGCATGTGATTTCATGGCACTATTTGCATTATACAAATTGCTAGTCTTAGTAGATTAAGTCAAGTAGATGAAATACTCAAGTGAAAATCTAAAACAAACTTTCACTAGCTCACTTGAATTATTCTTAGGTATTCAGTGCCAAATGAACAGGAGTCTATGATGAATGCTTTATTTTCCAGGTCCAAGGCCTGCTATATTTCTGCAGCATGGTTTGCTTGCAGATGCCAGCAACTGGATCACGAACTTGGATTACAACAGCCTTGGCTTTATGCTGGCAGATGCTGGCTATGATGTATGGCTGGGAAATAGCAGAGGGAACACCTGGTCCAGGAAACACATACACTTCACAGTGAAGCAGGAAGAATTCTGGGTTTTCAGGTATCCTCATCTTGTCACAGTCAGTCAYAGTCACAGTCACATTGTGAACTGGCATGTTATTTTTTTCTGGTTACATGTGTTGTCACATATGTACGGACAGTAGAGGGGAATTTCGAGGTCAATGTAGTGTGCTTAAAATGATAGGTGATCAGTAGAAAAGTGGAAATCATCAGAATTCTGTTTCATCCAAAGGGGGTTTTTCTTCATGTCCACACAACTGATTCATAGTGTAGGAAAGCTCTGTGCAGCTGTTCCTCATTGATAATTTACACAACTGACTCTCTGTCTTTGTTTTGTAGCTTTGATGAAATGGCTAAGTATGACATTCCAGCCTCGGTGGACTTTATTTTGAAGAAAACTGGCCAGCAACAATTATTTTACGTTGGCCATTCGCAGGGCACTACAATGGGTATGTGGAGRGATCCATTTGTTACAATATATTGTATTTGAAATTGTGTCAACTTCCACACATGTGCTTTAGTGATTGAAAATTAGGGCTCTTGAAAATTACTGTTTCTGGTTTTTAGCTGCTTTGTGGAATATTCGTCAGCATTAAAAATGAAAGGACTTAATCTTTGTTTAATAATCTGTGTTTATTTAAAAGTGGAAAGCTGTTGGAATGATAAATTGAAGTTACAGGTATCTGGCAGTACAGCTTTGATTAAAACAAATTGGTGCATTATGCATAATAAAATTTGACTCCTTAGACACAGAGAATAAAGATTCCCATTTCCAGATTATTTTGTTGTATGTAAGGCCTGGCTCATGTGCTTGAGCTAGACATGTTGCAACAGTAAGTATTAAATTGCTTTTTGGAAGAAAGCAATCCTTCAGAACTATTTGGGCTTTGTTGTAACTAGATTAATTTACATTATCTAACCTAATCCTAGATACTGCAGTGAAACTATTAATCTAAAAATRCTTTTGCACACTTTCACATAGATTTTGTAGAATTGCTGCCAGGTAAAATTCTTGTCTGACTTGCGTCAGTGAGGTTTGTTAATTATTCCTGTATTATTTACAGCTTTCGTTGCTTTTTCAACTTTGCCACAGCTGGCTAAGAAAATCAAAATGTTCTTTGCCTTGGCACCAGTAGCTACAGTCAAGTTTGCCACTAGTCCTCTGGTAAAATTGGGAATGGTTCCTGATCTGCTGCTCAAGGTTTGTATTTCAGTGTAAATGTTTCAAGCCAAAAGAGGTATGCCCCTTTCTAGCTGAAAATAGCATAGCAAAGGATGTTTTAGCTGTGGATTAGAGAGTAACATATGACAAGAATTCTGGGTCAGTTTTACCAGGATGCTGTTGAAGTCAGCAGTATCTTCTCTGGCTTTATTGCCGTGAGGCAATTTGCATCAGTTTAAAGTAGYATTTTGCAGTTACAACTTTATAGATGGAATAAAATTGTTTTTTAAGCTAGAGAAATCATATGATTAACTAAGTAGTCACTGTGTTTTAGAAGAGTTGTGCAATAATCTTTATACAGAATACTTCAGAATTGTCATGAACTTTAACATATTTGTTTTGCAATCAGCCATTTAGTATTGGAAGAGGATCCTTCAGAGGGTGATTAAGAGCATCAGCTTTATTTAGAGACTGAATCATTGTTCGTAGGAGTTTACCTCTTCACCATTAACATCAGGGGGAATGAGGGAGGCTGAGTAAGTGCTTGAAGTCAAGACATTGTGAACACCCTACTGCGTGTCATTTTTAACTTGCACTTTTCTTTCCACCACCCATGGAGATTGGCACACAGAGGTGTTTGTTCTGTGACATAAACCCTCTTTTGATGTAGCTTGTACTGATTTAAAGTCTGTCTGTGTTGTTAGTTCCTTGCTCTAAAGACAGTTAACATAAAAGTGACGCTAATAATAGCAATCTTCTTCCTATTCCTTGCATAATGAACTTTTCCTAGTAAGGCCAGCAGCTGATCAGTGCCCTGTGCAGATGTTCATATTGTTCTGAGGAACTTGATTCTCATGGTGACTTGCAAAAAACTGGAGTGCAGGGAGAACCTGACCTTGACAAACCCATGGGTCAGTCATATCTTTGAAGAGCTGTATCACCATTAAGGAAGTTTCCAGTGGGACATTTTAAAATCCTTGAATATTTTAAAAATACACATCAAAAGGAAGTGGTCACCACATCTCATGCAACTTGTTTTCTCACATGGTTTGAAGAGAGGAAGTTGCAAATACAAAGCAATTTAACATTAGCAGGCAGAGCTTAACATACTTGAGCCTTAAACAATTCTGATGACAAGAAGCTGTACAGTGTACCTATAAATTACTGAATTTAAAATGTATTTGAATTYGAGGTTAGGTTTGGAATTCTTGCAAGGCTTTCCCAGTTCTCAGGTACTTTTTGTGGGGTTAATGCACTACACAATTTGTAGCAGAAGCACTAACCATGACAACGCTGATAAAGAGATCATTGATTTTCATATGACACACCTGTCACCAGTGCAACTGGAAGTAATTACCTCAAGAATGTTATAGTATAAAAACTGAAACCAGGTCATTCTGTGCAATTACATGTTTGTCCTGTGTGTTTGTTATTTTGTAGGACATGTTTGGAAAGAAACAATTCCTCCCTCARAATTCTTTGCTGAAGTGGCTTGCTACCCATGTCTGCACCCACAGAATACTCGATGACCTTTGTGGCAACCTATTCTTTCTTCTGTGTGGTTTTAATGAGAGAAACTTGAATATGGTGTGTTCTAGTGACTTCCTTTAAAAGCTAAGTTATTGTGACCTCTAACGAAGTGTTGACTGAATATATAAAAAATGCTTAAGGCATACCATTATTASGTTTAAAACTCAGCTTGAGAGTTCTGTTGTTCATTTAAATTAATTCCCCAAATGTTTGAACCTCTTATCTCATCTGTGTGTGTGGCTCCAGTTAACTTTTGTTTTATAACAGTTTTAAGAGGAATAGAATAGTTTGTTAGTTGTTCAGGAGGCAACAATGGTTAGAACTGTTGCACTAGAAGGACTAAACCATGTTAATTATCTTGTTGCAGAGCCGAGTGGATGTGTATTCAACACACTGTCCTGCAGGAACATCTGTACAAAACATGATCCATTGGAGCCAGGTAGGGTTTTCAGAAGCTAAAGTACCCATGACTCTAGTTTGTATGTAGAATATTCACGTGTTTGATATTTAAAAGAAATGAAATACCAAAATACATGTGCAGCCTAGCCCAAAGGAACTACCGCGTGTCACAATGACAGCTGTTCACTGCAGCTACTTTCATGACTTATGGTGCTTCACACCTCTTCACTAGTTCTTTGAAAATATGCTAACTGGAAGTACCTCAATCAACAAAAAATGAAACAGAATAACTTAAATCAGTGAGATGCCGTAATGGGTATTTGTTTCCCTTTCAGCAAAGTCTGTTTTGATTACAAGTTATATTTTTAGCCAGTGAAAAGCAATAGATTTTCCATTCTGTTCTGTTTGGCTTAATTTTGTATTTTATTAGTATAGTTTGATGTTCATCTCAATGCACAGTTTCATGTCTGTGATGCTGTTGTGTCTGAAGCTTGGTCAAAAGGCAGACAAGTGAGACATTTGCCATGGAAGCAGTGGTCAGTTCTACTTAGGATTTCGTAACTGGATTTGGTCACCCAATCAGAGGCAATGTGTTCTGCTGTACACAGCTGTTCAAGTGTTTGCTCAGAAAAACTTATGAAGATTTTTTTTCCAGATCCCTGTTATATAAACTTCTGTTTCTGAAAAATAGTAGAATCATGCAGAGTAGACTTGCTAAGAAGCTTCCTGCTTTATTCATACACATTTAGACAGCAAGGTAAATATTTCAGAAGTCAGCATGGAGCTGCCACATCCTGGCTTTGGATACATTAACTTGTTTTCCTTAATCTTTTCTATCATTGCTGTGAGAAGAGAGTGTGAAATCTTAAGGGACAAAGTCTAATGGTATTGAATATTAATGTTTTCCATTCCTGTGACTGGGCAAAGCAGCAACACTTGTCCTTGTTAATATTTGACATTCCACTATTTCTTGTGTAGGTTGTCATTACCARTTCTCCAGATGATGACACTTTTTAATTCTTGTGGTAGTAGTGTTGCATTTCTTTGTATGTGTATTTGTTTATTTCTAGGCTGTGAGGACTGGGGAGCTCAAAGCTTATGACTGGGGAAGCAAGGCTGCAAATATGGCTCACTATAATCAGGTAGACATTTTTTACATAATTTTGAGTGTCACAAAAAGTCCTTGGGTGCTTTTCTGGGTGTTGTGTTTATGCTGCATGCTTAAGAGCTATTAGTGTAATCTACTATCAGACTGGAAATCTGCTTTTTCCAAAATAACAGCAAATGAAAGAAACCAGACAGGCCTGTAGAGCTCAGAGGTAGTCCTAAGTCAGTATGGAGCTCATGCTTGGGTATGAAGCTGTGGTGGCACACGGTTTCTTGAGGGGAAGTCCTGCCAGCCTAGATCATGAGATGCYCCTGCTCTTCTCATCATAGGGCACAGGCTGTCAGTTCATGCATATTGTTTATCATTAGCCTTTTTTCATCTTTATGCATTTTTCTTTCTCAATTGCTGCATGCAATYCTGAAAATACTTAGCCCCTTGTCTCCTTAGTGACTGCAAAATACTGCAGTATTGTACTTTCAGAGTAGTAGTCACTTTTGACCTTAGATTAGATTTGAAATACCTTACATGGGTTGCATTTTCTGAGATACTACTACTCTGCTGTCTTTGTAAACTCCTCAAACCACATCTTTACTGCTACACATGCTATAATMTTTTAGGACTCTTGCAATTACATTTTTGGTTGAGTCGGGACTCCATTTTCATCTCTAATTACCCAAGAAAGAAAATGGGAATCTAACACATTCTTGCAGTTGCTAGTATTTTACACTGCAGTGTCGTATCATACTAAAGACTTGGTTTTTCTAATGCTTTTTTTTTCACTTTCCCTCTCCTCAGTCTACTCCCCCTTTCTACAAAATAAAAGAGATGACTGTACCAACTGCGGTGTGGACTGGTGGACAGGACTGGCTGGCAGACCCAAAGGATGTTGCTATGCTGCTCACTCAGATCACCAATTTGGTTTACCACAAAAACATTCCWGAATGGGAACATTTGGATTTCATCTGGGGCCTTGATGCACCTTACCGCATGTATAATGAAATAATTAACATGATTAGGAAGTTGTCTCTAAACTGACTTGGTATTCCAGAGTATTAGTTCACCAGGAATTTGTCATTTTTTGTAAAACACACTTTTCTGGCAATAATGTTACATTGCTTAGTGTGATGCATTTTTAAAATGCCAGCAATCACTACTGAATTAGATTCATTATTTTTTGTTTTTCTCAGTATTATTTCTCTCTCTTCATAGTATTTTGCTGATTTTGCACACAGTGGCATGGTACTGAAAACACAGCAGTAGAACTTAGCACAAAAGGAGTATGTCACATGCACATAAATTTAGTGACCTGTCTGAAAGACAGACACATGATTCCATTCAGCATCTCAGGTGTTTGACACTTAAAACAGTAAGTATTTCACTGTGCCTAAAACACAGCCATATCTCAGTGTGTGGCCATTGCTGAGTACCTTTCAGAAGTACTTCTTGTACTGAAGTGACTCATTTGGTGCTGGCACTTTACAAAGCACTTAGTGACTTTTTTTCTGTGTTACTGTTTTAGCCATCACATAAAAGCTAGCTACATCAGATTGTTTTCCATATTGTCCAGAAGAAAGAGAAAGAAGCCAGAGAAACCACTGTCAGTTGAAATCTCTGATTTTGGAACTGATTTATTGCTGCGTTTTCTTGCTTTGATGATGTCCCTGAAGCCTTTGGTATTTCACATACCAGATGTGGATTGAGGTCACAATTTGCCTTGGCAGATTCCTGGAACAAGAATAATGGTTAAAAAAAATACTTTTTGGTTAACTTTCACTTAACTTTATCAATAGGTTATGGCTTTCAAGGAGACTGATGTAACATACCTGTGTTTTGCACTGACCACTAACTAGAAAACGAGCTCTCCCCCAGTGTGCTGCTGGTGAGAGAAAAGCCAAAGCATTCATTCTGCAGCTTGAGTGACTTAATTTCTGTGGACTTTTCCCCCTAATCATTTGCTGCATCGAAAAGCTGTTTACTTCTTAACTGCTTATAGAGTGCTCCCTACCACTATGTTAAGGAACTGAGAACAGCCTGGAGAAGCCTGACAGTATTAAGAGCAGTTCCTTTTGTCTCAGTCTCTGTTTCAAACTGGAGTTAAGACCCCTTTTAATGGGGAAGAGGATTCGCATCTGCCTCASGGGTCTGACTTTGAACTTCTTTCCATTGACTGTGCAGGGGACTTTGACTCCTGKGAGATACATAAAAGTTCCATGCCAAATGAACAATTTTCAGAGTCAGTTGCCTTAGTCCAGATGATAATTTCTGTGCCATAGTTGGACTCAACCTAGATTTCTTCAGTAATCCCAACAGGATAAAGAGCCTTTCTACAAGTCATAGGAAATAGTGCATTTTAAATAGAGGCAAGTTTATTTTGTAAAAAAAAAATTAAAATAAAAAAAATGCAGAAACACACTCAAGTTGTAAATTAGGACTTGTTTGTTTGGTTTTTTTTTGATTCCTAATTCAGACTCAGGGAATTCTCAGGTGTTGTTTAGGAAGAAAGTACTTCATTCGTTCATGATATTTTGGTTGTGATTCCTAACAGGACCTGTAAATCTGATTTCTCTTTGTATAAGCCAGATTTGCTTTACTTTAYTCTGTGCTGAAAGGAAACTTCTGTAGGAATCAAAGATGGCTAATTTAACAGTTTTAAGGGTTTGTGGTTTAGCAAGAGCCATGTGCATCATGTTTATTAAGCYTGAGCTATTTCAATAAACATGAGACCTGCTTGGAATTTGGAGTGGTGTGGTGTTTCACTTCCTGTTTCATGAATGCATGTGCATCTTTGGGATCAAATTCAGAAAGCCAAATCTATTTCTCACAACCATTCATCCATAGAACAAGAACAAAAAAAAAGTAAAATAACTAAGTCAACTTCTATTTTAGTTTTTCCCTGGAAGAAGATTTTCCCAAGCCTAAAAGGCCATTCTTATTTTGGARGACTTCTCTGGGACTTTCAAGGTACTAATTGTAAATAATGACTCACAAGACGCTTTAATTTTTTAAGCCTCCAGGTGAAGTTTCTTTTCAACCACTGATGTGGTGAAAAGCTTCTTGTATCATATACTTAAACCATGAGTAATTGGATTGCTTAACAGACTGTCTGGTAATCTCATAAATGGCATTTAATCACACAGGAAGGCAGGGAGCTAATCTTTGCAACAGTGCACATGAACCAGCTTTTGACCTTTGTCACCTTCAATAATAAATGTGCTGTTCCTTTCTGTGCATTCTGAATACTGTTGCTGTGCAGTCAAGGCAGTAGAGTGTATTAAATCCTATGTGCTGCCACTTTGGTCAGCTGATGAACACCCCGTGGGCCTGGAAATAAAGCCAGAATACTGGAAGCTTTAAACAAAAGCAATTATGGAGCTTCTCTGCTTTGCTGGAGTAGGAATGGTTATGGAAATTGTGAGTTGCTTTAGTTCTCCCTGAACCACTGAAGTTACAGGCCCTGTGTGACTGAAACTTGGAATGTGTGCTAGTCAGTGCACTGAATGATGCACTAGCTCCATGCAGAGCATTTTTATACTAGTTAGTGATTCCATGGCTAGTGATAACACTMATAAAAGTTTATGCATAACTCAAGCAGTATAGCAGTGCTTCAGCATAGGAAGAGGTGGTAAAACAGAGCTCTGACTCTACTTGGGCCCTGTAAGAGAAAGAGTTTTGCCAGCTTGGGAATTTTTCCATAAATTATTTATGGTGAATGTACCATATCAAAAAATAAAACCCCAAAGCCCCCTCAAAACAAACAAAAAAAAAAAACCCAAATGAAACAGAATTGCCTTAATATCATGAAAAGTTWAAAAATGGCTTTATTCTGTAAGATGTGAGAGAGAAACTTTCTTGGCTGGATAGATTTTTTGATATATAATAAAATGCCTAAYGATGGAAGATTTTCTGGTAATTAAAGCGTTTATAATGTCTTCTCCCTTTGTAGTCTTAYAAAATACAAACTTACACAGCAGCATTCCCTGTCATGAGCTTGCCTTCCTGCCCCAGCAGCCTATTTTCATGTAACTTTTTATGTGCAAAATAATTGAAATCATCAATGAAATAAWAAATTATGGAGGTTGGATGGACAGTAGCCACACCTGTAACATGATGGCCTAAATTTTGTTCGCTGAGCAGAAGTGTCTGTATTGCAATCTGACCATGTCGAGATTATGTCTGTAGTTGCAGAGGATGCAAATCAATTTCTCATTCCTGGGTAATGAATTATAGAATTTTAGTATCTTTTTGTGATGATTATTGTTTTGAAAACGGATCCTCTTAAGGTAAAGCTTGAGGATTAGCAATTTACTTCATTGACAGTTTTCCATCATCAGCCATTGTCAGGAATTAATTAAAGTGACCTTTGGTTACACTTTGTGCTGGCTGGAGAAGTTTTCAGTGAAGCTTGGTTGGGGAGGTGGACATAAAAAATATGATAAAAAATGTGTTAGTTCTGTTAAGGAAAGTATTTTGTGTTTAGGCTGAGGGTTTTAATCAAAACTGAAGAGGCCTCTTCTTTGTCCTCAAATTCTCAGCATTCCTGTTGAGCTCAGGGTTCAAGCTTGGGATTCGAGGAAGAATCTCATGTCCCTTCTTTGTACCCAGATTCTGCACTTGAAAAAGAAGACTATAGGTTACACCTGTAGAGCCATTTAGAGCTGGAAAAGACCTCTGRGATCGAGTCCAAKCTCCCTCTTTGCYTCCAAACCCATTAAACTTACAAGGCCTGTGGCAGAGCTGTGCCTCGCAGCTTTCTGTGCTGCTGCAGGAGGGTTTGTTACCGCTGAAGCTTTGAACCGAGGAGCGTTTCCCGGTGCCGGTGCCCGCAGCCGCGGGGCGCGGGCGGGCGCTGGAGGGCGCTGCTGCTCGCGGAGAGACCG